TTTTTTTTTTTTTTTTTTTGCAGATGCGGAAAAACGCACAACTCAAGGAGATGGCTGATGCCGTACAAAATGCATACAGTGACGAGTGGAGAGAAATTGCTGTTGCATTCCGCCGTCATGTTTCGCGCACCGCTGCTGCAGCCGCGGAGAGAATCCGTGCGGGGATTGCGTCCTCGTGCATAATTCAAGTCTACGCGCGGCGGAAAGTGACAGCGCAGAGAGAAGGAGAACAAAAAACAAAATGCGGGGTAACGTCCGACTTGCCACGGAATTGTCGGATTCGATTACCCTGCACCACCGGAACGAGAGCCATCAAGCTAGTGTCAGTGACACTTAGACCAACTTTCGATGTTCTCCCATTCCGCGCGCGCGCCTGCTCGGACTTGTTGGATTGTTCTCCGACGGCATGAAGCTTATCAAACTCCGCCAAGAGCCTTGTGCGATGCGATATGTTTTGGTCTAATGGCTGTACTGTATTCGGTCGGTTGATGATAACAAGCTTTGCTGGCCACTTTGCGAGCGTGTCACGGCATCCATCGGTCGCGAAATGGTACGAGGCTAGCAACGCAAACCATGTGACCCTGCACCATCGTCGACTCACTTGCTGACATGACCCTTTCGCTTTGATTACGGATCGTCTGCCGTAACCACGTTGACTGCTTTGGCACACCGTGTAAGATGCGATGCAGTCATTTGTTGATTTCCTGTCGATCGGTGTGGCTTTTCTTCCACCTCCAGTCTAGTGCATACATGAATGGCTTCGAGGCACGAGGCACAACCGATGTGTTGTTGTTGCCAAGAGAGAGAGAGATAGCGCGCATGATGACACCGAATTGGGTTCGAGCAAGCCACAGAAAGCCGCGTGCTCTCGGATGTGGGTGCTCAAGGGGGGAATGCTTGCTCGTGGGAACCAAGGAGCAACAAGCGAATCGATGACCTCGTCGTCCAACTCAAGCCAGAGTGGAGTTCGGAGTTGTCTGCCAGATGCGATCAGACTCCGCACTGCAGCCGCGGCCTTTTTTTCTTTTTTCTTTCCTTTTGCCAAACACTGGTACGTCGCCCCGACAGCCGCGGCGACCGTTGGCATACCCCGCATTTTCTCCAGAGTGACACAACATTGCGGTTCGCCGTCGCGACGCTCGACGTTGCTTGTGGATCGTGTTGACCCGCGAGAAGGGAGACCAAGGGTGTCGCACCTCTCGCATACGTTCGAGCCTAAGAGCATTTCTCTGCCGAGTTGAGACATGTGCTGCGTATGTGCGCACGGGCAACGACCCAAATGTTTCCACTCTGGCTGGCTGCTAGGAGAACTGAATGCTACTCCGCTTCGAGCTAGGCCAAGTTGCTTTTGCTCTTGCTCGTCCGTACGATCTGTTGGATCGCTTTCCCACAATCTCGTCAATTTACAGAGCCATCCATCCTCCCATCCCTCTCCATCACAACAACCCCCATCCCAACGTCCATATCCTTTCCTCCCGGCGCCACTATCATCACTTCTTCCTTTCTCTTTTCCCCATCGGTCCTCCCTCTGATCTTCGATAAGCAAAGATGGCGACACCCAACTACAAGCATCCCAACATGAAGGAGCAGTGGGGGCTCTCCGCTGACCCCAACGACAACGACCACGTCGTTACCTCCAAGGGTCACAAACTGACTCGTACCGTCACTGCTGGTGGCCACGACGTCGATTCTTCCCAGCCTGGTTTCCCCATCTACCACCGAAGGATCGCAAAGTGAGTCTTTTTCCCAACCCTTTTTCCTTCCCTTGATCGAACGAGTGCTGACCAATACAACCTCCTTTCACCGCAAACGCAGCCCATTCCCGCTGGTGGCCATCGCAACCGGAGCATTTGCGATCATGCTCGGACTCGTCTGCATCGGCTACCGCGGTATCACGAACCCTCGCATCGTCATCACGCTCGGTCTTCCGCTCGGTATGGTCGGAAACTTTGCCGCGTGCATGTTCGCCTTCGCCTCCGGTTCGACCTTCATCGCCACGCTCGCCGGCTCCCTTGCCGGTCTCATCGGCGGTGCTTCGTTCCTCTTCCTCCCCTGGACCGGAATCCAGGCCACCTACATCGGCGGTGCTGCCAACCAGGCCGCTGGCGTCGAGGAGTTCTACAAGGCCGCCGGCATGGTGTTCTTCATCGCCCTGATCCCCATCTTCTTGGTGTTCCTGGCTAGTTTGAGGACGAGCGGACCGAGCGCTGGTGCTGCGCTGATGATTGTCGTGGCGCTGGGCTGCTTGGGTGGCGGCTACATTGGTGGCGCTCCCAACGTGGCGGTGTTGAAGGCGAGCGGTGCGTTCTTTATCATTGTCGGCGTGCTGCTGTTCTACTCGGCGTTGAGTGTCATGTTGGCCGAGGAAGGGCTCAAGATTCTGCCTGTCTTCCCTCTGCCCAGGCTTGAGTAGAGAGGCGGACGGCCATCGGCCTCTTCGCTCGACCTTCATCCAACACGTTATTTGCTCGCGCTATAGCCCCTTTCCTTGCTCTGCTGCCTGTAATTTCCAATCCTTCCCTTCGTAACAAAGACCATTACAAACAACACAGCAATGTTTTGCGTTGCGACCTCCGTACTCGATCGCTGTGTGGCTAGTTTGCACAGAAGAGTTGTGTTGTATCGTTGGCAATGAGTCGATGCGAGTATCACTGTTACGTCTCCAAAAATGGGGCAAAGGCACGAAACCGGCGTTTTTGTCGGCTGTAACGCGCTTTTTCCCGAGGCCGATCTTGGAGAACTTCTCGACAACCGCCGCCAAAAGCAGCATACATAGCCGGACATAACTTCTCCCCTTCTCTCTTCTTTACTTCTCTTCTCTCCTCGTCGACACACCCACTTGCTTCTCTCCAGTTTTTCCTTTCCAATCAAGCTGGGGCGAGATGGACATCGAGGAGTTTCGTCGCGCGGGTTACCTCGCCGTGGATCGGATCTGCGACTACTACGCTTCCCTCTCCAACCTCCCCGTTTCGGCCCAAGTCTCCCCCGGGTTCCTCTCCCGCTCCATCCCCGCCTCTCCACCCGACTCACCCGAACCATGGTCTTCGATAGATTCCGACTACCACTCGGTCATCATGCCCGGTATCACCCACTGGCAACACCCCAACTTTTACGGCTATTTCCCGTGCAACGCGAGCTTCCCCGGTATGATCGCGGATCTGTACTGCGCGAGCATCAGCAACCCAGGGTTCAACTGGAGCGTATCTCCGAGCGTTACCGAGTTGGAGATTAGTATGATGGATTGGGTGGGGAGGATGTTAGGGTTGGGCGAGCAGTGGTTAAGTGAGGGAGGGGAGGAGAAGGCGGGGGGTGGGGTGATCTTGGGCAGTGCGAGCGAGGTGGCCTTGACCGTGGCGATTGCGGCGAGAGAGAGGTGTATCGGGATCCTTGCGGAAGAACATCCCATGCCGAAAGATGTCAGCGAAGAGAAAAGGAGCAGTGAAGGACAAGAGGAGAGTTTGGATGCAGATCAGGATGTCGCCTCGGAAGGAAAAAGTGCTGCTCAAGTAGGACAGGACTCGACGCTATCTGCAAACACAACCGTGGCGCAATGGAGAGCAAGCTTGACATCCAAGCTCGTGATCTACGGCACGACCCAGACGCACAGTATCGCCGCCAAAGCAGCTCTCATCCTCGGCCTTGACTTCCGCGCCCTCCCCGTCGCCGCACCGCACTACTCCCTCGACGCAGAAACCCTCTCCGCAGCGATCGAAGAAGATAAATCCCACGGACGCATCCCGTTCCTGCTCATCGCCACCATCGGTACCACCTCCTCTGGTGCCACGGACGACCTCAGCTCGCTCATCACCGTCACCCGGTCCCACCCCACGCTCTGGCTGCACATCGATGCAGCCTACGCCGGAGTCTGCCTTTCGCTACCCGAGTTCCGCGGATCCATGCACCTGGATGCGATCAACGCTGCCACGGGCGTGGATAGCTTCAGCACCAACCTCCACAAATGGGGTCTAGTCCAATTCGACTGTTCCCCGCTCTTCGTCCGCGATCGCGGTGATCTCTCTCGAGCGCTCACCATCACCCCCACCTACCTCCGAACGAAACACGGCGACGCCGGAAACGTCCTCGACCTTCGAAACCTCCAGATCTCGCTCGGAAGACGTTTTCGAAGTCTCAAAGTTTGGTTCGTCCTCCGAGCCTACGGCGTAAGCGGGTTTCAACACCACCTGAGATCGACGATGAAACTGGCAAATCATTTTGAAGCGTTGGTGAGGAAGGAAGGAGAGGAAGGGATGTTTGAGATCGTCGCACCTCCAAGGTGGGCATTGGTGGTGTTCAGGATTACGCCACCGGGAAGCAAGGAAAGAGGAGAGAGCGAGGAATTGGACCGGTTGAACAGAATGTTCTGGGACGACCTGCAGGAGTTGTCCGCCGAATTCGTATTGACGCAGACGAGTTTACCAGAGGTCGGCTTCTGCATCAGGTTCGTGGTGGGAAGCCCACAGACGAGGACAGAGCACGTAGAGGCCACGTGGAGGAGGATCAAGGAGACCGCCAGCAAGACTTGGTCCAGGTTCAACCAAAGCTCGCACTAGACGCAACTCTCTCACATAGAAGCGCATACACACAATTTACACACCCTCTCGAACTCTGGACCAGAATACGCAAAATGCTTTTCATTGCTCGCCCTTCGAAACCGCCCATTCACTTGAGAGGACTGAACGGCAAGGGCCTCATGATCTGCGCATGCATCTTGTCGATCAACTTGACCGTCTGACTGACGGTGTCGTTCCACGTCTCGACCTGCCACGCCATATCCCTCGTCTTCTTCCTCTCCTCCAAGCTGGGATACTCCCAGATGTGGAACACGGTATGCAACCCGCCGATCTGGGTGAACCACGCACCGATGGGTTCTACGAACTTCCTCCTCGCTTCGAGGCCTCTCCTCCAGTGCTGCTCCCACTCCAGAAGGTGACCGGGTTTGAGGTGGTAGGTCCTCAGCTCGTACAGACCGTTGGTGGTGCGGGGTGGCGAGGAAGGCCAGAAGGAGAACTCCTGGGTGAGCCAGTTGGAGCGGTTGGAGAGCAGCGGTTGGATGCGTTTGGTGAGCTCTTGGAAGTCGGGATCGGAACGGAGCTCGGAGATGGCCTTGTCGTAGCCAGCGTAGCCGTCGTACTCCCAGATGTGGTAGAAGGTCTCGAGGTCTCCGACGATGACTTCCCAGCTTCCGGTGAGACGCATGGGGAGGCCCTTTTCGGCGAGTTTGGGGAAGTATTCGGCGATGAGCGAGCGGTACTCGTCGGCGTGGGCGGGGGAGACGGATTGACGCTGGATCTCGTGGATGAACTTGCCGCGCGCGACCTGCATCGAGTGGGATTGGGCGGTAACGCCTTCGGCTTTGGCCTTGTCGGAGCCGTGAAGGAGGGATTTGAGCAGGCTCTGCTTGGGTTCGGAGTCGGACTCGTTTTGGGACTTCTGATTTGCGGAAGAGGAGGAGGTGCGATCGGCCAATGAGGGGCGTGAGGGGGTGATGAGCGAGCGAGATTGGACGATAGGGTGTGTGAGGGCTCTGGCGGACCAGCCTCGAGTGGCCGGTCGTAGACCTCGTGCAGCAACAGAGACGGTCATTTCGTGACGTGACCCTGGCGATATAGACTTATGCTCGTGAGTAGTGCTTCTTGGTGTGTTTCGGTGGTGGTGGTGAGATGCAAGGATGATGGACGTAGAGGGGAAGAGAGAAAGGAGAAAGTATGTGGGGAAATGGTTGGACAAGCAACGCTCGAGCCAGCCCAGCACGGTTCAGACTGCGCTGCGTTGCCGCACTTGTCGGCTGAGCCGAGACCTCCGTCTTCACGCACGAGGCTACAGCACGTGACGTCAGACCTGTGTCCACAACAAGAGAAAAACAAGGTCTAACATTGACAAACCAATCGCCCAGAAGGGCAAGCGACTCAGGCACGGGCGGAGTTGGGCCAAAGTGCCGTCATCGCAGTCTCGGCAGCTTTTGAGTTTTTGAGTGAGAAAATGCGATTCATGCTGTTCTCAGCTACACTCGACTGTGGCTTGAACTCCACTTTCCCTGCTTTCAAGCCAACTGTCTCAAGCACAGCCAGAAATTCGCACAAGCACAGCCTCGCATCGTCCTACCAACCTCATCACCAGTACAGATCGCACATCCATCCAACTGCACTTCCAAACGCATCACCACCACCACCACAAGCTGCATTCATCTAGCCGCAAAAAGGAGATCCCGCATATACCCCTCCTTTTACACGGCTCAAACCCTTACTTTCAGCGCCTTACAGCGAGACCCACACCTGCTCTCGTGTAGGCACCCTTCGAAACGCAAACCATGTCGTTCCTCAAGAAGGCGCAACAGCAAGTCGCGCACACGTCCAAGCTTCCATCACTCGGCAACCAGGATCTAAGGCAGCTTCAGGACGTCATCACCTCCGAAAAGAGCTTCATCCAATCCAACACCAGGGCCGCAGCTGACTTCAAAAAGAACGCCGAGGCCATCAAGGCTTGGTCTGCAGAGGAAGGCGCCGATCTCAACGATGTAGCCGGCAAAGTATCGCTCCTGTACGATCACTATGCAGCCTCTCAGAACCGTCTCAACTCGCACCTCGCCACGGTGCGTTTGCATTTCAAATCCATCCGCACCCGCGAGGAGGCGCTCGCAAATCTCAAGTCTCGCAAACGCTCCCTCGGTGCAGACATCGAAAAGGTCGAGCGCAAACTCGCAAAGATGGGTCCCGAAAACAAGGAGCTCATGAAGGTCACCGCCCAGCTCAAGGAAATGCGGGCAGAGATGCAGGGTCTTCACATCGAGGTCATGAACGAGGACGCTGCCATTGGCGACTTCAAGAGGCGCACCGTCAAAGAAGCCTTGGGCATCAAGTCCGGTGCACTCCTCGAAATGGCGGAAAAGTTGACCATCCTAGCTGAAGTCTCGAAGCTCATGTTGGACGAGATCCCGCTGCAGCCTACCCGGCCGGGCATGCCTCGCGCCGAATACTTTGGATTCGCCAAGACCGAATCGCTGCTGCAGGAAGCCACCCGATCCATCGCAGATGTTGGATTCAACCCCACCGGGCCATCGGCAGGCATCCCTCGATTTGGTGACATGACCCTCGCCGATACCACCGCCAATGGTTCCTACGCCAACAATCCAGACAACGAGGTCTACTACGATTCCGCGGCTCATGGCGTCGTTGGCGATGCGGATCCAGATGCCGGGTACAGCCCCTCCACCAACCGCGTGCTCAGCAACGACCAAGATGTCGCACGCACTCCCATCTACGCCCAGCACGCCTCTCGATCCCAGTGGGCGCAAGAAGGTGCCGACAACGCTGCTGACCATCCCATTCCGGATGCTTCCACCAACGAGTGGGCGCAGTCTAGCTACGAGCGCGGGGATACCTCCACTAACTCTGCTGCCGCTGCTGCTGCTGCCATGGCCGCCACGGCAGGTGCCGACCTGAACGCCGTACCCGGACACGATACTCGCAACCAGCCCGATGGCGGCTTCCTCATGCAGAACAGCCAGTCCTACAACGGCTCTGCCGGCGGTCTCGCCTCGGCTGCGGGTCATCAGCATCAATTTGGATCCAACAGGAACAGCGCCGACTATCAGAGCGCACAAGGAGGTGGTCACGGGAACGCATCTGGAGCACCCGCAGTTGTTCGTACCACTTCCACCGAGGGTGATCATCAGACCGATGCTGCCTACGATGGATACACCGCAGGAGGCAATGGGTCTCAGGCTCAACATGACAGCAGCACGCTTGGAGCACCGTTGCTGCCTCCGCTTCGCACAGCCACGCCACTTGACGGATCCGCCGGTGCACCAGCGCATCCGACGACGATGGCATCGCCCACGACGGATGATTCTGCCTACTTCCAATCCATCGGCAGCACTCGCGCCATGCAAGAAGCCGTGCGACAACCCATTTCTCCGCATCAGAATACCAATCGAGCTTCATCGTACGGTGCCTTGGGAGCGGCTATCCCACGACCATCGTCGACAACCGGTGAAGGTAAAAAAGTGACGGCAGCAGCATTCCGACGTGGATTCTCTCGAAATCCTTCATCGCAGGCCAACATGTCCATCCCAGCTTCGGGTACGGGTCATTCGATCTACGATGACGCTCAACAGCAGCAGGCGTGGTCGTCGAACCCTCTACCTCAACCGCCGATCATGTCGTCTACACCGGTACCGCCAGGAGCGTACCTTTCGGCAGGAGGGACGCCCGATGAGGAGTCGGAACATTCGTCGGTTCCTCCGCTGCATATTCAGAAGAGGTTGTCGGGTGGACCGCAGAATCCATTGGGCGTAGCTGCTGCGGCGGGTACGCCCAGGGAGATGCAGGGAAGGAGATACAGTGGGGAGCTGGAGGGGGTGGGGGGGAGCGAGTACCCGGCGCCCCCGTATGGCGGGGCTGCACAGGGGGAAGGTCTGGTCAACCCGTATGATCAGCAGGGTCAGAGAGCCGCGAGCAGCAGGTATGCAGAGTATGCAGCGCCACCGCCTCCTGGGTACGGGTATGCGTGATGGGCGGGAATTGCAGACGTGCGCAATTGAATCGTTTGAGCGATCTGTAAGGGTGTGTGAAGTTTGTGCGAATGAGACTGGATGGATTTTGATGAGGACATTGTTAGGCGGCCTCTTTCGTCTGCGCTCAAGTGGCTCGGCTGGTTCATGTTCCTGCAAGCCAATGTCGATGATGATCGACTGCCCTAGCTCGGCGGTTCCGTTTTCGCACACCGGAGGTTGCACGGTGCGCCTTCACTAGCAAAACCTCTCTCTCTCTCACACGCACACGCAATTGTTACCAAAAATGACCTGGGATTTACAACCACCCGCCGCCCTTATACATGCCTTCTCAACGGACTCGGCGTGAACCTGGATTCGCTCGCCTTTGGCGTCTCCAACACCTCGCCCACCACGGTTGCGTCTGCATCGCCTTTCGAAGGCGGGAGGGCGTGTTTCTGTTCGGCAAAGTAGTTGGCGGCAGCGGGTGGATCGGGCAGCGTATACGGGCTGGGGGGAAAGTGCCTGCTCTGCGAAGGGGAGACGCCTCTGCTGTGCGGTTTCGAGTCCAGCCCGCTGATGGAGAGACCACCGGTGGTGGTGGGGGTGGCGGTGCTGGCGAGGATCTCGTCGTCGTGCTCGTGCCTGTACGGCTGAGGCGTGTCGTACGGGATCTGGTTGAAAAGCACGCTGACCGATTCACCGTAGTGACTCCTGCGAATCGTCTCGGCCAGCACGTGCGAGATGTCGATCTCCTCGATCTTGCTACACCGCGAACGGTTGTGACTCTGCGGCAGGGTGTTGGTGACGATGAGCTTTTCGAGCCTCGAGTTGGTGATGCGGTCGAGCGCCGGTCCCGAAAGAATGCCGTGGGTGACGATGGCGAGCACGCGCTCGGCGCCGTACTCGATGAGCTGGGATGCGGCGAGGTCGAGCGTCCCGCACGTGTCGGCCATATCGTCGACGAGGATGGCCACCTTACCCTCTACGTTTCCGACGAGCACCATGCGCGAGACCTCGTTGGCGCGCTTGCGTTCCTTGTGGAAGAGCGCAAAGTCGAGCTCGAGTCGATCGGCCAAGCTGGTAGCCCTCTTGGCACCACCTGCATCGGGTGAGACGATGACGGCTTTGTTGACGTCGACCATCTCCCGGATGTACTGCAACGCCGCGGGTTCCGCATACAGATTGTCCACCGGAACATCAAAGAACCCCTGAATCTGACTGGCGTGCAGATCCATCGTGATGACGTGATCGCACCCGGCATTCTCGAGCATGTTGGCGATGAGTTTCGCCGTGATGGGAGCACGACTCTTGTCCTTCTTGTCCTGACGTGCGTAGAAGAAGTGGGGGATGACGGCGGTGATCCTCTTTGCAGACGCGGTCTTGCAGGCGTGGATCATGATGAGCAGCTCCATGAGCGAGGTGTTGGGCGAAGCGGCAGCGCCGGTCGGGGTGGGAGAGACGCACGAGGTGTTGATGATGTAGACATCGTGTTCTCTTACAGATTCGGCGATGCGGACGATGGACTCGCCGGATTCGTTGCGAGTGACGGTGGCTTTGCCGAGTGGTTGACCGAGACGTCTGGCGATGAGCTGTGCAAGCTCAGGGTGCGAGGTGCCTGAGAAGACTTTGATGCTGCCTGCGGTGGTCGTCATGGTTGCAGATGAGGGGAAGAGAGAGGTGACCAAGAAGAGGTGAAGAGTCAAGGATGAGGAGCGATTGCTCGAACGACCAAATTTGAGCTTTCTTCTCACAATCTCTACAATCACTTGCTCCGAGCAGCTCGCTTCATTTAGGCTTTTCGGTGTGACTTTGTGCAAAGTGGGGAAGTGAAATCAAATTTGTGATTTTGGAAAAAAGGTTCATCATCACTCGGACGAATTGCGCACTTAATCTCATCGGGCGAAGGAGAAGAACATGAACAGATCGGTCGATGTCAATCCAAGCCTCCACATTTCGAAGCGACATGCCCGAGACGCATTGTTGGACAGCTCCGTGTGCAAATGCCGTTCCAGCGTCACGATTACCCAAGCCGATCGACAGGGTCTATCTGGCTCGATCCATTCACCGTCGTCATGGATGCTTGTCGTGCAACAAAAGAGACCACTTGATCTTCGACTTTTGGCCATTATCCATCCATTTCACCAACGTCCAGCTTCTCTCCCCGCATCGAGCTCGCATGCCACTCAGAGCATCGTTCTTCCGTCCCTTGCTACGTTCCGTCTCGACCACCAACCTCATCACTGCAACTTGTCGTATAACCACTACACCACCGCACCTTCTGCCTCGCACCTACTCAACATCCCCTCCAACGATGGCACCCAAACGCAGGCCAGCATCCCCGCCTCACGACGAGGACGAAAAGGCGCTCGACCCCAAACTCGCCGAACACCCCGACGAAGACGAATCCGAAACCTCCAAGCCTCCCTCGCAAAAGCGACAGAAAAAGTCGTCCTCTTCTTCCAAACGCTCAGCAGTCGTTACCGGCGGACCAAAAGTCGAATCGCAATACGGTTCCTCCGCGTACGCCAAGTCGGGCGACGACTGGCATCGCTCCGACTTCAACCCTTCCCCTCGCGGTCGCACCGACTCTAAGACCCCGCTTCAGGAGCTCGAGGCTGCACTCAAGACGCACGCTCCCAGCAAACACAACGATGCGGGAGACGGGAAAAACGTCGTGTACTGGATGAGGATGCACGACCTTCGCATCCACGACAACCGTGCGCTCGCACACGCCTCTGCTCTCGCGCAGGAGAGACGCAAGAAGAAGAAGGGCGGGAATCTGATCGCCTTGTTCGTAATCACCCCCGCCGACTACAAGGCGCACGATCGAGGCGCCAGACGCATCGATTTCGTCCTCCGCACGCTCGCCTCGCTCAAAAAGGAGTTGGACAAACTCAACATCCCCTTTGTCGTATACACCCACACCGACAGACCTCGAACGTCGATCGGCGAAAAGGTATTCTCGCTCTGCAAGCAGTGGAACGCCTCGCAGCTCACAGCCAACATCGAGTACGAAGTCGACGAGCTCTGGAGGGATCTAGCTATGCTGGAGCAGAAGGACAAAGGTGGGGTGAGTTTTAGCTTGTTCCACGACTGCTATGTCGTTCCGCCGGGGAGGGTGGTGACGAACGATGGGAGGCCGTACAGTGTTTTCAGTCCGTGGAATCGGAGGTGGACGGACTGCATTGCCAAGGATGCGTCGTTGATCGAGGAGAGTCCGGATCCAGAGGCGAACGATGCAGGTGCGAGAAAGGATTCCACCGTGGGCAAACTTTTCGATCTGGACAAACTGGGTGGAGGGTTTGGCATTCCGGAGGAGTTGGAAGGGTTCGAATGCAAGGATCGCGAGTACATGGCCAAGCTGTGGCCTGTCTCCGATGGCGCACCGAAGCAGGTGCTCGACAACTTCATGTCCGGAAAGGGTGGGGAGACGGCACTCGATCGACCTGCCAACGAGCCTTCCACCAAAGACGTCGGTGGCAACACGAAGGAATCGCGTCTAGCACGGTACGCCGAGGGACGGAACCTGATGAACGAAAACGGCACTTCGCGTATCAGCCCCTACCTCGCTGCTGGACTCGTCTCCCCGCGCGAGTGTCTCCGTCGAACGCGCGCGCTCACCAAGGGAAAACTTCAAGTCGGAAGAGACAGCGGTGCAGCGATGTGGAATACCGAGATCTCCTTCCGCGATTTCTACGGTCACGTCCTCGCCGCGTGGCCCAAAGTATGCATGGGACACGCGTTCATCACCAAGTACGAAAACGTCAAGTGGGAGACCTCCTCCTCGACACTCGAGGCGTGGAAAGCCGGTCTCACCGGCTACCCGATCGTCGATGCCGCCCAACGTCAGTGCATCCAACAGGGGTACATCCACAACCGCGGTCGAATGATCACCGCCATGTTCCTCACCAAGCACCTCCTCCACGACTGGCGCGAAGGTGAACGTTTCTTCTCGCTCAATTTCATCGATCAGGATTTCGCCTCCAACAACGGCGGTTGGCAGTGGAGCGCCAGTACGGGCACCGATCCTCAGCCGTACTTTAGGATCTTCAATCCGTTGAGTCAGAGCGAGAAGAGCGATCCGATGGGAGAGTACATACGACACTTTGTGCCCGAGTTGAAGGGTGTCAAGGGTAATGCGATTCATGATCCGTACCGTAGGTTGGGGAAGGCGGAGTTTGAGAAGCTGGGGTATCCGAAGCCGATCGTCGAGCATGCGGAGGCAAGGCAGAGGGCGTTGAGGAGGTACAAGAATCCCGGTGACGAGTAAAAAATACTGGCAGACCGGTTGCAATACATATAGTTAGACTTCGCATTCCCACTTGATGCCCGCGTCGAGTTACACTTGTGCGATTGATTCCGACTTGAGGGCAATGTTTGGGAGCTCGTTGTCACCAAGCAACCAGCCGCTGAGATGACCACGCCTGGGATCCCCAACTCACCTCCACAGACTGCGATAGGCAGCTGCGCCACCCCCCAAGATCAGCCATCTCCATCGAACCCACCAACAGTCCTCGTCATCCTCGATCTCGCCAAGCACACACTCATCACACTCCTCTTCGCACCTCTTCCTACGCAATTATCAATAAAACATGTCATTGTCCATCGTGCTACATTATCATAATCGCGTCCCAAAGCGTTTCCTCCTCCTTTCCTAGTTATGACTGCAATTCGGGATGGTAATCTGCTTCAACTTCTTGTTCTGATCAAACAGACCCCAATGAGCCTCCACACCGCCATACAGAGCATCCTTCCACTGCTCATCGTACAGTTCGAACCAAAAGTAGCCCGTTCCATTCTTGTTTGCGTCACACACATACCCGTCCAGGAAAGTCTGTAGCTCGGGGACGCCTGCTTTTGCACCTGTGACTTGACCTTGTTCGTTGACGTAGGTGGCAGCGGCGGTGGAGTTGGCGCCGGAGGGCCAGCCTGTTTCTGCGATGTAGGCGGCAGGGGTGTTGGGAGCAGCGGCGGCGATGTTGGCGTCATTGTCTTCAAAGTACTGGTAGGTCCAGGCGGGGCCGTCGGAGACCAAGGTGCCGGCGAACCAGGCGTGTACGTTGGCCATAAAGTAGTCGACACCGGCAGCGACGGTGGCGGTGAACATGCTACCTGCATCAGCTGTTCCTATAGGAAAAGTCCAGCTCTTGCTCGTAGCGAGCGTACGGAACTGCTGCACATACGCGAGGAGGTTGGTTGCCGAACCACCGTTCAAGAGGTACTCGTTGCCGACGGAAATGCCACCGATGTGGTTGGTGCCGAAGTTGTCAAGTGCGAAAGTGATGTTGTTCACTTGACGGGTCCAGGCGACGTCGCCGGGGTCGGAGGAGTCGAGGTAGATGGCAGGGTAGATGGTGAGATTGACCTTGGTGCGTTGGATGGCATCGAGCATGAGGGCGGTGACGTTGCAGTCTGCGCCGTAGAGACGCACCCTGGTGGTGAGCTGGGACAGGGTCTGAACATCCTCGACGACGGAAGCGAGGTCGACACCGCAGCCGTACTGGTACTGCGACTTGAAGGGAGTGTAGCACATCCCCCAGAAGCTGTTGTGAAGCGCCGAGTTCTTCTTGAACTTGGAAGGATCGCCAGACAAGGCTTGCGAGTTGGTGCTTGCGTTGCTGGAGCTGGAGGATCTGTTGCTGTCGTCCCTATGCCTAGCGACGACGATGCCTGCAACGGTGGCGATGATGAGAACGAGAGCCAGGACAGCACCGCCGATGTACAGCATCATCTTCTTGCGGCTGCGAACGGGAGGCGCAGGAGTGAACTGATCGAACTGAGTGCCCGATTGACGCTTTTCGGTCCAGCCTGCGTCAGGGTCGGCAAAGTCGCGAGGGTACGACGCAATCGAAAAGCGGTGCGAGCCTGGTGTGGTGGGTTTGCGCATGTCTTCCATGCTGTACTCGGGTGAGTAGCTGTCGGCAGCAAGCGCTGGTGTGGGAGCATCGTAGTCGGGCTCCTGAGCGTATGGCTGCTGCTGCTGGTACTGCTGACCGTACTGCTGGTGTTGATAGTACTGCGGTTGCTGCGGGTACGCCGGGCTGCGGTCGTCCATGTTGGCTGATGCAACGCGGGCATAACCTCCACCACCACCTTGGAGTCTGGGACTGTATGGCGAAGCCATCCTTGGTTTGAACTTTTGGTGTTTGTGCTCGTTTGTGAAAAAGAATGTAGCGTTCGGAGAGGAAGCAGTGACGATGAAAAAAAGAGTGTAGGAGGGTCGGTATATGGGCAGATGGTATCGTGCACAGCACTGATACGGAAGCGAGAGATATGAAAAGGGGTCGAAGCGTTGAAAGAGATGGAAGGGCGAGGTCAAGCGAGAGGCTTTTGAAGCGAATGGCTCGACTGTGCCGGACTGGCTCGATTCGGCAGGTGTGCAGTCGAACCTTCCGCCAGCAGAAAGGATGCTTTGCCAGGAACAGGCACGGCTGTGCGGAGGGATGCCTCTTGACAGGACGATGACGGCGAACAGAAGCAGAAACAGGGGCTTCCAAAGCCGCGCTGCCAAGAGGATGCCGCGGGTGAGCAGATAGAGTTTGCTGCGTCCAAGCTGCTGCAACATCCACCACCCGAGCAAACAGGCACAGCAGCAGCGCGGTGATTTTCGGCCAAAGTGTTGGTCTCGCGCTTAGAGCTGCATCGGAGTTCCTGCAACCGCGTCACACAGCCGCAACAAAAAAAAGAATCCATCTTGAACCCTGAAAAACAATTTCTGAAACCATTTTCACCCCTTTTTCCCCTTTGCCTTGCTTCCCGGCACGCTGTGCGACGCTCTGACAGGGATCATCATCGATGAAAAAGCATGCTCATCTGCAATGCAATGCGATGCAGGCGACTCATTCCGCGCGGTCGTTCCTCGATCGTGCGTGACCAACGATCTGGTCGTACTCTGCAAGGCGAGCATTACTTGGTCCGCGAGGTCAGATCTACACGTTGCTCCCGACGGGTCCTGTCGAAAAGCCAAGACCTGCACGTCTTGTCTCCTGGCACAAACTACGTCGCAGCAATCGAGTGATCCAGTCTCACGGACGAAAGTGCTAAAGTGTTTCGCATCTGCAGTCACTCGACTCAATCTTACGTTCACACCAGATCGACACTGATCCTTCTACGTGTGACATTGCGATACCTGACAGCGGACCTACTACAGAGCAGCCACGAGCAGACTCACAGCCGATCCTTGCGTGCCCACATTCGCCTGTCCCACAGGACCGGTCCACTGCACACCGTAGAAGTCCGTACCATTCCTTGCACTGCCATACGCAGCCAGCGCCTGCTTCTGAATGTACCTCGCATACTTACCACCGGGCACCACCTGATCCAACTTGGCCAAGTTTCGCACAAAGATGCCCTTGAAAGCATCCTCGTCCGTATTGCACGTGCCGGGTGCCTCGCACTTGTCAACCAACACACCCGAAGCGCTGTTGAACGAGCTGCTTGCGATCACAGCATCGGCGATCTTCTGCGCCAGGTCGAGGTACTCCTTCTTGCCTTTGTCCGCCTTGTACAACTCCGTCAGACCTCCGAGAATCACTCCTTGGTTGTAGGACCATTCGTCACCGGCGTTGTTGACGCAACCATCGGTGAGTCCGTCGTTGATCAGGTTCTGAGAGTTGATCATGCCGCTCTTGACGAACCAGCTGTACTGCTTCGTGGCGACATCCAACCATTTTTGAGCCTGTTTCTTGTCCTCCAATCGATTGGCTAGACCAGCGGAGAGCGAGAGGTAGAGCTCGTTGCTGATGGCATTCTTGTAGGTGCGAGAAGGGATGTCCCAGATGATGCCACCTCCGCACTTGTCGCTTCCGAAACTCTGGAGATACTCGGCATCCAACACGGCGTATTGGAGGTACTTGGTGTCGCGGGTGATGTCGAACATGCGAAGCATGGCGAGCGCGTACCAGCCCGTGTCGTCGGTCGAGTCGGCACGGAAGATCCCCCCGCCGGAGGGCCACCATGGGAGAGGCTTCTTTTGCTGCTCGATCGTCTTGAGGATTTGGGGCATGTACCGAGGGTTGCCCGTCTTGGCCGTGTACTCAATCACACCAGTCAATGCATTTCCGGTGAGCCACCACGAGGCCGAAGTGTCGAAGCGGCCATCGGTGGTGTTGTAGTAGGAGAAGAGAGAGTGCAGTGCCGAGTCGACTTGAAGAATGTTGATGTGAGAGGGGGGTGGAGGAACGGGTTTGGCGCTAGTCGAGGTAGTCAGCAGGCCCAAGAGGGCGATCGGGTACAGGCAGGACCAGAACATCGTTGCGCAGGTGTAAAGTCAAAGAGAGGAGAGCGATCTCTGGAGGGGATCCTGATGTTGCAGCCATGGCATCCTGGCTATAAGTACCTTCTCAGCTCCAAATCTGCTGTTCTCGTCCACCACCTGGACCTTGACACCAGCACACACGTGGCCAGATCAACACTACACCCTCGCACCTCGCTCGGCTACGTTTCCACTTGTGCACCTGCACAAATTGGTCGCCTTCCAGTGCAGATCCAACCTCGGCAAAGACTGGTCCGAAGCAGCCGCCGCTCCGATCTCGGTCCTTGCTTTCCTGCGCGACCGTCCCTATCTCTGTCATCGTGATATCTCGTGAGCGTTCTGACTCGAATGTGGGGTACGGCGCAGGGTTTCGGTCTGCATTTTCGCCGAGAACAAAGGGTAACACGCAACACTTTGCCGCCTTTATCACGTCTCGACGTCGGTCCGGCGACCGGAAAGTGGGAAGAGGAAAATAGCATGACCGTCGGCGTGCTGTCAATAGCTTTCGCCGAGGGAAGGAGCGGAGAAGAGGAGAAGAGCTACCAGGGGGGACCTTCGGCTCGAGGCGCGGAGAAGAAATGCAGGGTCCAGCTGGTTTCACCGTCGGTCCGATGCTCGCCGATGGTTTGTTATTATGGCGCCCGTTCACTGCTTTCCTCACCCTTATCCATCAGGTGGCGGGGTCGCCTGCTCATCGCACGCCATGTTCAGATCCTCTAGCAAGCTTTCTTCTTTATCATTCTGCAAAGGGACAGACAATCGAAAACATGTACAAACACGATGGTTCTTTTGTGTGCGAGCGTCGCTTCTACGAGCTCATGCCAACGACCTGGCCGTTCTTCATCGTGACCGAGCCCTTGAGCGTCAGATCCTTGACACGCGAGCTCTTACCCACCCAGATCTTGTACTCTCCGTCCACCACCTCGAACTTCTGCTTGACCACATCCCACACCGTAAAGTCTCGCTTGGTCAGCTTGAACGTCGCCGTCTTTGCCTCTCCCTTGGGCTGCAACCCTTGCACCTTGTCGAACCCTCTCAGCTGTCGGATCGGTGCATTGGCTGCCTCTGGGTAGCCGACGTACAGCTGGGCGACTTCGTCACCTTGCATACCACCGACGTTTTGGACCGAGGCGGTGACTTCGACGAGGTACTGGAAGAGCGAACCGGATCCACCGGGTTGCTTGTCCTTGTTCGACTTGAACGCGCTGGGTGCGTAGCAGTTTTCGGCGGACTTCTGGATCTGCAGGTTGGAGTAGCTGTAGTTGGTGTACGAGATACCGTGACCGAAGGGGATGAGTGGCGTGAGACCCATCTTGTCCCAGGCGCGGTAGTCGATGTACAATCCCTCGGTAAAGTCCACTTGCGGATCGCTGGCGGGGGTACCGACGATCTTGGGGTAGTGGTCCGCATCCTTATCGGCGAGGATGGAGTAAGGCATCTTACCGGATGGGTTGACATCACCGTACAGGACGCTGGCGAGAGAGTTTCCGGATTCCTGACCAGGCAGGTGCGGGAGGACGAGGGCGGTGATGTTGGGGTGGTGGAACCAGTCTCCCATGAGAACCGGTCCGACGGTGTGCATGACGACGATCGTGTTGTTGTTCGTGGAGGCAACGAGCTTGATCAACTCATCACCGTCGGCGTCGAGACGAAGCGATTGACGATCGCTGTTCTCGCCGGAACGCGCCTGAACGAAGACGAGCGCGGCGTCCGTGAGACTGGCGGCCTGCTTGACGAGCATCTGATTCTGAGCATCACCGACGTCGTTGAGGTTGTCGAGAACAGCACCGTGGTTCTCCTTGGCAACCTGCGAGATACCAGCCAGAGGGTCGATGAGGTAAGGGAAGAATCCTGCACCCGAACCCCACCCAATAGCCTGAGTACCGTTCGAGGTAGCGTTGGCAGGGCAGAGCAGCGATCCGAGACCGATCCACGACTGGCACGAGTTGATGCCGTATGGGTTGGAGCCAGCATCGCTACCAAACACGCCGACACGGGCCTTCTTGTTAAGGGGCAGACCGAGACCGAACTCGGTGCTGCCCTGAGGACCAGCCTCGTTGGACCTCTTGTTGTAGATCAGAGTCACCGCCTCCTCACCGATCTCCTTGACGATCTTCCAGTGGTCTCCTTGGACGTTTCGGTGCTCGTTGACGACGCTGCCGTTGAAGATGGTGTTCTGGTAGCCGTCCTTGTAGCTGACCGTGGGGTAGCCCTCGTTCTGACCACGAAGGTACCACTGAGCCAAGAGACGCGTGATACCGTCGTTGATACGCTCGATCTTGACCTCGCCAGCGTCGAGGGCACGAACGAGGTCGGACCCACCGACGAGGTTCTTGTAACCACCAGTAGTCATTCCACCGGGCATGATGACATCCGAACCGCCGTTGTAGGTGTTGCTCGTGTTGAAAGCAGCCGACCAGTCGGTGACGACGAAGCCTTGGAAGTCGAGCTCGTCCTTGAGGATGGTGTTGAGCACAGCGCTGTTCTCACAGCCCTGCGTTGAGTTGATCCTGTTGTAGACGCACATCAATGCACCAGAACCAGCACGAACGGCGTTCATGAAGGGCCAGAGGTAGAGCTCGTGCATTGTACGGTCGTCGACATTCGAGCTGTAGGTAAGGTAGGTGTTGTTGTTGGGGTTGAGCGTATAAGGATCCGAGGCAGCGTAGAGCTGACGGTAGGTCTCCTGCTCGTATGCAAGGAAGTGCTTGGCGGTGGAGATGACACCGGCCGACTGGGTACCAGAGACGGTGTAGTAGGCAGCCTCACCGTGCAGGTAAGGGTCAGGACCGAAGCCTTCCCAGTTACGACCCTGGAAGGGGCTTCGTCCAAGAGGGCCACCCGTGACGGGGCCGAGGTGGACGTTGACACCCTTTGCGACGAACTCGGAGCCAAGAGCAGCGGCACGCTTGTAGATCAGGTCACGGTTCCATGTGGCAGCAGTAGTGACACCGGCGGGGAAGACGGTGACAAAGTCGGAGGCACGGAAACCGGCGGGACCATCCTGGAAGCAAAGCTCTGGGATTCCGAAACGGTCGACACGACCGAGCGTACCTTCACAGCGGCCACCCGTGATACCGGCGGTAAGGTTGACCTTCTCGGCGAGCGTCAATTGATCGACAATGCCGCGAGCCTTCTCGACCGCCCACTCCCAACCACCGTTGCCAGTGACAGGGTGGAAGGGGCTGTTGATGTCTGAGAATTCGGGTCCACCTCGGTAGAAGGTACCAGCAAGAGGTGCGGTGGCAAGGGCAGAGTTGTCTGATGAGCTGATGTTCCACTTGGGGAAGGAGGCATCGGTCTGGTTCGAGGTATCGGCCTGGCGGGCGTTGAGGAAAAGGTTAAGGTGCTCCAGCGAGGCGGCCTGTGCGCTGAGCACGTTGGCCGCGTAGATGCTGAGCACCAGCAAGGACTTGACGGCGGCCTTCATCTTGATGACTTCTTGATCCACTTGAGGCGTCGCAATTATGCGGAGATGCTTTCAGAAGACCGAGAGTGTGGGCAAGAGGGAGAGGTTGGGAAAGAGGGGGGGAGGAAGAAGAGGGCTTGACGATCCAGCGATCCCGTGTCTGATTGTCGGAGTCACGAACGTTACTTATACAAAGTCGGAGATCCTGACGGGGGCGAACCCTGTGCTTCCCCATACCTCCTCGTGCAACCGCTCTGCGGGGTATGGGGAGCGTTGCGTTGCCGTATTAGCCACTAATGTGCTCTCCAAAAGAAGTGAGACCTGCAACCGCTGAGCAGAGGAAGTCCCGGCATGCAGTTCACCAGCGGCTGCCGGACTCGATGGTCCGTGGGTCTTGAGGAGGAGATGTTCGAGCGTCGAGTTCACCGGCTACTAGTCTTGGCATCATCATGACCCTGGATTCCTCCATCTGCTCTCAGTCGCATGCACAACACTCTGAGCTTGTCTGTGGGAAAAAAGGGCACCGGCATGGCAATGCATCACCAGGTTTGGCTCGACGAGGGGGACCTGCCTCTTTTGGAACGACATCGCGAAGCCAAACGAAGAAGGTAACTGCAGATGCCATACGAACCCTGCGAAATGGCTCTGGGTGGCCGGCCATGTCTCATCCAGAGGGTCTCGCAAAGCACATCGCTTGGCACACAAACAAAAAACAACTCCTTTGTTGTAGGGGCGTGCCAACTTCTGTATTGCATGTGGCGTCTGGCGAACGTCGTGGTCGAAAAACGCTACCGGCGACCTCTGATTCGCATCCCCGGTTGTAGAAGAAGCGCACAGATGTAGGATCAAGGCAGATGCAAGCTTTGCAGACACGATCTAAGCGAGGAAGACGAATACGGTGGAGGTGGGAGACGCAGGAGTTTGCCGAAGCGGCAGAAGTGAAAATGCCGGCTAGGGTAGTGATGGTGAAACGAGCGAAAGAGCTGAGGACCCCTCGGTCATTCCTTGTTCTTCCAACTGTCGAACAGGTCGAAGAAGTTCTTGTCACACGTCCAACGCTCGTTCGCTCGAACGCAGCGTGCTAAATGGGTACGCCAAAGACTGTTATTGCTGTAGCGGCGATGGAATGCAATCCCAGCTGTCAGGGAAGGGAGGCGGGTAATACTCGGCGGGGTTTGAGATGTTTCTGTGCGGTGACAGGCTTCTGTGGTTCTCGATCGGCGGCGGCGGCGGCTCAGAGCGTTAGGCTGTCGCATGACTGCAGAGCGATGCGGGGGCCCAACCTGACCCCACCGTGTACAGTCCGGGCGAAAATCATCTTGACCGGTGAGGCTCAAAAATCAGTTCATGGAGCAGAGGCTCAGTTCTCGGAGCTGGAGACCTAAGCGAGCTTTGAGAGATTTGCAGCTTGTTGCAGCTCGTCTAAGCTAAGCGACGTACTCCGGCTCTGCACTCCATTCGCTGTTCACCGCAACGGATGTTCAGTCCTCCGCAGTTGAGATGTTCTCATTGCTCGTACGAGTACAATGCGGTTTACTGGTGCCCTCTTTGGGCGGCTGGCACAGTCATCGTCACCCGGCAATGGAGTCCTATGGCTCTGCCACTTCGAATTGAAAGCATTCGGATGTCGGGTTATGCCCGCCTCAATCATGACGAAGCATGCAGAGTCTTCGTCTCGCACAAACGAAAGTGGTGTGAGAGCCTTGACCATCCTACAAGCAAGCGCAAAGCATCGATACATCCATTGTCCGAAGAAAATACAAGCAGGAAAGCCATCATTGCGCATGCCGGTTCGGCGTCGAAGTGTTTCTTGCTTTTCGTGTCTTGTCAAAAAAAGGTCATCAAATAACGATGGCCAAGATATTCGCTTCGTGCTACTGTTGGCATTGCAGCATCGTCTGCGGCTCTCCCAACACCTGAAGAGAAGACCAGACCGCGCAGGTCAACGACGCGGTGCGCAAGTCTGTGATTCTGAGCCAATCTTCTCTTGCCACGCGAGCGATCAGCTGACGTGCTAGTCCACAAAGCCAAATTCGCGGCGTCTATCATACGTACAGCACGACATGCCGGGCGAGGCGGGCCGTGGCCTTTTCTCGTAGCCATAGGAGAGACGAGCGCGCTTGACCAACAAAAGGCGTTGTGAGGCACTCAGGCCCATTAGCCAGGACGGACGAGCCGGACGTGTCCAACACGGGTTACGAGGGTCTCGGGGTAACGACCGGCGACATGGACCCTGAAGCTTTGCACTAATATTGTGTGCCCTCACAGGTACTACGCGGCCGCTCCAATTTTGCCGTCCTAGTCTTGGGGCGCAAACAGCCGAGTGCTGCTCAGAACGATCCTCGTGATAGAACATGATGATAAACCTGCGAACTCAATGACTTAGCCGGACGCGAGAGCAATCGTGGCTCAGGAACGGACGATGGTGCCTGAAGGCAAGATTGCCGGTCAGCGTCGTCCTTACAGAGGTCGGGCGCACGGAAGTATGCATGGAAGAGCCTCGACCGATTCAACGAGCAGAGTGGTCAACCTCGGAGATCTCAGTCTGGCTTGTACTTGTTTCTCCGTCGGAGACGAAAGCGGTCGATGTGGCTTGAGGGGGCAAGCTGGGGATGTCTTCGCAAGCAGACGGGACCGCGGAATATGGGTTGCGAGCTGCAGTCACCCATGAGGCGCGGCTTGCTTCTGCGGACTGCGCGATTCCGAATTGTTATGTCAGTCTGCTGAAACTCAGTCACAATATCAACAAAGCCCGTGATCATGAGTACCCTTTTGTGCGCACAAGTGGAAAGGGCGACCGGCGACGTTGGAACAGCGACCCCATACTCACGATTCTTACTCACGACCCCGGAAGCTCGTTGCTTCGCACGCGTTGCTCACCGGCGACGTCCATGTGACGCGGGGTTTGCGTGAGTGTGTGCTTGATCTCGCTATACTCTTGACCGGCCATTGGGTCGAATCGCAGCAAAGCGATGCCGATGAGTTGTGGCAGGGTAAACCCGTGATCTGCGCACAGGCCGAACCGAGGTGACCCTGCAGCAAGCCACTGCGCAGCACGATGTTCCGGATGATCGCGAACGGCGTAAAACTGAGTCGACGGCAGTGCCCACGTAACGGTAGAACTGAAGTCGATGGCGACAATCACGGTGAAGCTGGTGGCGTTGTGGCAGCGGTTGGGTTCCGCCGGAACGCACAAGGCAAAGAGTATAGTCCAGGAACGACCGTCCCAGCGTCAAGGTTGAGCTGACCGTTTGCTGTATACGATCAATTGCTGTGTTGTCTTCTACCGAGGCTAGGACTAAAAGGCACAAGTTGTGCTTGTACCTGCATCGCCCAAGCGAGGTCTCTCAGCTGACCAGAGCTAGGGGTGCAGCCAGTACGGAGTGTCGGCTTCGAACAGGGATTCGTTTCAGCACTCTGAGCGGTATGAGAGGGTGATTTATACTTCCGAGAAGCATCCGTGGCTCGTTCGGCCTAATGCACAGTGTGGCGAGGCCTTCGCGCCAGTAGAAGACCAAGAGAGGGAGGCAGACAGTGTGAAGCCGTAATTTCTCAAAGCAGACCCCGCTTCGGTGCTGCTCCATCACCCGATCAGAGGTGTACATGGCACGGTGACCAATCTCGATGAGCTTGTCAATCCTCACGCGGCATTCTCCCGTATGATCCATCAGGATACACCGCACATCTCCGCAGAAAACTCCTCCAAGCTGTCCGCTTGGTCCGCAGTCGACTGCAGCACCGTCTTCAAGGATCGACTCGGCCTTTTTCGACGCAGAGCAACCCATTTGCCTTCGGGAAATAAGTCATAGCAAATCGGCGCTTTACCACCGTGAACAGCTCGGCGACAAATATTGCCGGAAGCCGACGCGTTGCCCTTGTGTTTGGAGATCCACAGCAACCTGGACTCTGGCATCAGACTTGCTTGGCAACATTGCGTGGTCGGTCAACCTGTCATCGGCCTCACCAGCATCAAGTTGCCGAGCTGATTGCAACTCTCTCATACTGGTCTCAAAGGAACGGCGTGGCGGGGGAGCTTTGCACCGATCGGGCGCTGGATGATGTCGTGGAGTATTCTTCTTTCGAGGGAAGTGACGACGGGTCGAGAGATGTCAGTCATATTGCTGGCGTTAGGGTCTTTGGCTACGTTCGATCGAATCATACATTGCTCGCACGACCTCGATCCATGCCGGCCGATGCGAGCGGTCCTCTCTCGGACGGCAATAGCGATGCTCTGAGTCTCGCTTCCGAAGCATTGGTGTGCCTGTACCTGAGTGCGTAGAATGTAGGGAGAAGCGACCTCCAGGGCCTCGAGGCGACTCAACCTCGCCGGTCGTGACAACGCGTCAGCACCAGGGAGGTTAGACGAACCCGCGGCTTTCTGACAGTTTCCAACCAGGCGAGGGTTTGCATCAACTGTGGCTGAGTTCAGTTCAACCTGGCGCGCAAAGACGACATCGAAGTGCAGTGCGGAAGCACAAATCCCCGTCGTGCCAACCCGTCATGAGGCGTCGAAGGTGGGACAAAGGAGAGCGGATTGTTCGCACAAGACGAGGGCGGGGGACAGTCAAGCTGCGGGATGCGCAACATGCGGGGTAGCTGGGGCACCACAAACAACCTCATGCACGGTGGAGGGGGCAGCAACGTCGACAGGCAGCAGAGCATGGGGTTCCACAAACACCCCATGACCGTTTCGGCACCTGCCCACATCAGCTTACGACCACAAGGCCAAGCTCGGCTAGAAGACCTGCAGGGGGAGTCGAAGCATGTCAGAGGGCAGCCAGACTAGAAGTGACTTGGGACCTCCCCGGTTTAGGCTGGAGTGTCAGACAGGCTCGGCCAAAAGGTTGCCGATCTGGGATTGACCGGTGACGCTGCATGAGCTCGTCCAAAGGAAGCGAGCGACAGATGGAGAACAGACCCTGAATGCGAGGCTGGCTAGCACGTCAGCCAATGCGTTGCGCGCATTCACCGTAGCAACGCAGCACTGCAGCAGGCCATTCTCTTCGCTAACGATTTTTTAGCTTTTTTTCATTCTACTAAAGAATTGATTTTGTGTGTCGACCTTCAAACTCCGCAGAGCGGTTCCCCACGTACTGCGAGCAGGCCTTTGCTTCGACACAGGCCTGAAAGCAATCGTTTCTGAGGCATGCTTTCCGGGGTCAAGGGTCGTGTCGTCGTTCGAGATCTGTCAACTGACCACGAGGAAAGAGCTCAGCTTTGCCCTGCCTCAAGGTTTGCCGGTCGATGACCATTGCTGCCACTAAGCGTCCTAGCCATCGCAATCAACTTGACCGGTCGGCCTTTCCCGTCGATGGTCGCGCTGACTTGGCTCTTTCCGTGGCTCCAATTGAGCAGGCAGCGCCAGAGAAGCATGTTGGATGATTTCCGAGTTCAGCCTTCATCCGCTGCCCTCACTCGCGCTCGCGCGTCGCGAAAGTAGATGCTGGGATTGTGGCTTCATTTGATGCTATATGTCGGCTGTATCGGAGAAGCTGGTTGTTTGGCAATTGCCGCGCTCAATCGGTCCTTGTGGGTTCCCTCTGTGTCCATTGCAGCTTGTCGTTTGAGCATGAAATCCGACCTAAGAACGATGAACAGGCGGAAGAGGAGGCGACGCAGGGGAGGGGAGCCATTTGAAACAGGACGAGAGACACCTTTAGCGGGAGGAAAACCCCCGAATGTGTGATGATTCTGCGTCGGTGAGCTGCTCTCCCGCGACGCCGACCATCCCAAGAAAGGCGTTGTGCAGAGAATTCCGCGCTGCTCAATTCTGCACATTGGCTCTGATGGATCTACCTGGCTTGGCCTTGCCGTCCCGTTCACTCTCCGCCGCTCCCCTCTCTCCAGGTGCTTCATTCGGCTGTCACGCCGTTCCAAATTGCCCGCGACACCCTCTCGCTCAGGAACCGACCAACACTCTCACCAGTTCACACCCGACTCCTACCTCGACACCTGTCTCCCTTTCGCACATTGTCCCCGGTCAGCCTTCATCCCTTGGTCGGCACATACTGTCCTGCTGCGCCGCCGTTGTTGCTGTACGGGGCTTCTGCATTGTCACGCAACACGCGACCTCATCTCGAAGGCACAGCGATAGTGTATCACAGCGCTCGACCCGACCCGAAAAGTAGAAATAGCTGCCCGTCCTCCCCGCCATACCAAGATCCTTTCCTCCCCACAAACCTTCCCCGCACGACTTCTCCACCTTTCTTCCTCCACACCTCCTCCTCTCCTTTCTACCTCAAGACTAGGAAAGCATCGTCACTATGGTTGTCTCGGCTACCACCGGTGGCCAGTCCGAGGTCGCCCAGGCCCTCGCCGACCACCGTCTCTCGATGGTCGGCGCTACTGGTGCCAAGGGTCTCGTCAAGAATGCCCGTACCTTTGCCATCGCCGTCTTTGCCTCGATGGGTGGTCTCATCTACGGATACAACCAGGGCATGTTCGGTCAGATCCTGAGCATGTACTCGTTCAGCGAGGCGAGTGGTGTCAAGGGTATCTCCAACCCTACCCTCGCCGGTTTCATCACCGCCATTCTCGAGCTCGGTGCTTGGGCTGGTGTGCTGATGAACGGCTACGTTTCGGATGCCTTTGGTCGTAGGAAGTGTGTCGTGTTCGGTGTCGCTTGGTTCATCCTCGGTGCCATCATCCAGGCCTTCACCCGCGACGGCTCGTACGACTATATTCTCGCCGGTCGCGCCATCACTGGTGTCGGTATCGGATCGCTCTCGATGATTGTGCCCCTCTACAACGCCGAGCTCGCTCCCCCTGAGATCCGTGGTTCGCTCGTCGCCCTCCAGCAGCAGGCCATCGTCGCCGGTGTCATGATCAGCTACTGGTTCACCTACGGCACCAACTACATTGGCGGCATCGGCGAGACCCAGAGCAAGGCCGCCTGGCTCATTCCTGTCACCGTCCAGATCCTCCCCGCCCTCATCCTTGCCGTCGGTATCTTCTGGCTGCCCGAATCGCCCCGTTGGCTCATCAACCAGGGCGCCGAGCAGGAGTCGCTCAAGGTCATCGCTGGTCTCCGTCGCCTCCCCGAGAACGACATGCTCGTCCAGATGGAGTTCCTCGAGGTCAAGGCCCAGAAGCTCTTTGAAGACCGTGTCTCTGCTCACGACCACCCCGACCTTCAGGACGGCTCCCGCAGCAGCAACTTCAAGCTCGGACTTGCCGGATACAAGTCGCTGGTCACCAACCCTGCCAACTTACGCCGAACCCTCGTCGCCGTTTTGGTCATGCTGTTCCAACAGTGGACCGGAATCAACTTCATTCTCTACTATGCTCCCTTCATCTTCAAGCAGATCGGTCTCGAAGGCAACACCATCTCGCTGCTCGCCTCGGGTGTTGTCGGAATTGTTCTGTTCCTTGCAACCATTCCCGCGGTGCTGTACATTGACTCGTGGGGACGCAAGCCCACCATGATTGTCGGTGCTGCTATCATGGGATGCTGCCACCTTGTCGTTGCCATCATCATCGCCACATGCAGTGGCAACTGGCCTGCCCACCGAGCCGCTGGTTGGGTTGCCTGCGCCTTCGTCTGGATCTTCGCCGCTGGTTTCGGATTCTCCTGGGGTCCATGTGGTTGGATCGTTGTCGCCGAAGTGTTCCCTCTCGGTCTGCGTGCCAAGGGTGTCTCGATCGGTGCTGCTTCCAACTGGCTCAACAACTTCGCCGTCGCCATGTCTACCCCGGACTTCATCTCTGCCGCCCCTTACGGTGTGTTCATCTTCCTCGGCCTCATGTGCTTCATTGCCATCGCCTACGTCGTGTTCTTCGTCCCCGAGACCAAGCTCAAGTCGCTCGACGAGCTCGACGCCGTCTTCGGTGACAAGTCGGGACGATCGCAGTGGGAGGCCGGTATGATGCTCCAGGCTCAGCGCGACGTCGGTCTGCTTCGCCTCGCCGGTATCGAGGAGCCCAAGGGTCTTCCCACCTCCGACAACGCCTCTGGTGATCTTGACGAGAAGCACTCGGACATCCACGAGGACAAGACCAGCAACGTCGTCACTCACACCGCTTAAGGTTGATACCCCCTCTGTTCTCCGCTGTCCACCTTCACCTTGCTTCTTCGCATTCCCCTTGGCTCCATGTCGCCTAGGGAACTCATCTCATCTTTTCTTGCTGTATCGGTCTTGGTATTGAATGTAACCCCAAGTGTAAACCACATCGCTTTGCCTACTCGTGTCTGAATTGTTTGTGATTTCTCTCGTCTGACCTCCTCGTGACTATGTTCGTCTGACTCGTCTTGTATACATGGTCGAACGATACCTGATAGAGCGGCGCGGTTGCACAGAGGAGCACGTGGAAAAAATGAAGCCGGTGTTGGGTGTAAATGAAGTTTCATGCAAGGACGCGTCAGTGTGCAAGATCTGTGCGGAAAATGATTTTGACATCGGATGCTTCCGACGAAACTGTCAAGCACGGCGCCTCTTGTACGACCTTCACCGTTGTGCACCACCACGACTCTGCTCACCGCCAGCATGATTCGCATACGCCATCCACAGGGTACTTCTTCGTTCAAGATAGATGACAGCACAACCACGCTAGGTCAATTGCAAGGCTACATCGCTGAGCAATTTGGGATAGGGGCGTCGGAGCAGGAGCTTAAGATCGGCTATCCGCCCAAGACCTTGCGTCTCAGCTCGGTGGGTGATGGTGCGCTGCTGAGCTCGGAGGACGTTGGCATCAAGAGAGGAGAGCAGGTGATTGTGGCTCGAAAGGCGGGCAGCGCTGCTTCGACGTCAAATGGTGCTGCACAGTCTGTTGCGACACCGTCATTGCCAGCTCAAAGTGCGATTTCTTCGTTCGGCGCTATGGGTGGACCCAAACCGAACATTTCCACTGCGACAGGTCCGCGCACATCATATGGACTGGGTGCAAGAACGCTCCAGGATGGACTCACTGCACGAGCTGCTCTTCCTTCTTCCAACCCTTCAACACCCGGCAGCGTCACCGACGGCAGCGTTTCAGTAGCCATCCCATCCTCCCCTTCATCACGACTTACACTCAAAGTGGTGCCAGACGACAACTCCTGCCTCTTCAACTCTGTCGGCTACCTCTTCAACCAACGACTTGGCTCCGATGTCTGTCAAAATCTTCGTCAGACAGTCGCTACATCCATCCGTTCGAATCCGGACGAGTATCCGGACATTGTACTCGGTCAGCCACGGGACAGCTATATCTCAAAGATTCTCTCACAGACGACATGGGGTGGAGCGATCGAGCTCTCGATCCTCTCAGAGCATTTCGGCGTGGAGATCGATTCGATCGATGTGGCTACTGGAACCGTGCATCGATTCGGAGAAGACAAGGCGTACGAGAATCGCGCGATTGTGGTGTACTCAGGAATCCATTACGATGCTCTCACGTTGAAAGAGGGAAAGGACGAGACTACGATATTTCCGAATCTTGCAGCGATCGGGATAGCGAAAGATGAGGACGAGGTGATGAGTGCGGCGAAGCAGCTGTGTCAGGAGTTGAAGAGGAGGAAGTACTACACGGATACAGCGAGCTTCAGCTTGAAGTGCAAGACGTGCGGGACAAAGCTGACGGGCGAGAAGCAGGCGGTACAGCATGCGAAGGAGACCGGACATGGGGACTTTGGCGAGGTCTGATGCGGGCAAGTAGGTACGGTTCAGAGCCTTGTCCTCGGGAACGGCCTGATGGCGACCAATGTCGCCAGCTGTTATCGACAAAGTATAGTCATATGACCGAAGCTACCCCGTTGCTCGGGTACTTGCGGAAGGATCGCGATGACACTTCGATCGATCGAGCAGCAGCTCGCTGACGCGCGGCTCTTCCCCCTCCCTTTGTGCTGATGACACACTTGAACGATTCTCACTTTTGCGGTACATTATGCTCCAATGGACCGATGCAGAGGGAACTTGCCCTCGTTCCATAGCAACGTTGCTAATGCGGACATTATCGAGCGAGACAGACTCTTCGAGAGATGCCGTTCAGCCCGACCCGTCTCGGACGTGTCGTATGCCTCGTCAAAGGGATTGGTCCCTTTGTCTTCGACTGATGACATCGATGGACAGCCGCCTTCTTGCCGAGCTCTGACTGAGCCTCTCTATACGGACTTTTTCCTTCGTGTAATCAGTATCGTGAGCTCGTTGACAAATCCAAAACTGACAAGCTTCAGAAGGCTAGCACAGTCCGACATGGAGTTCAAAGTCAGGATGTACAGCCACTCGGTTTGTTCCTTTGTTTGCTGCGAGTCTACGCATGAAGTCGTCATACACGATGTCGATTGGCGGGTTGCGGTCGACACCAACCAGAACAATGACAGCAAGCCGATCGTGCATTAATCGAGAGCACGCGTGCCTCGGCGCGACACTGGAATTTCTTCTTGCATTGCAGCATTTGCCACGTGAGCCTCATCCCCTTTGTCTCGGCCACGATCTGCCCCACCAACTTAAATCCTCGCTCGGAGAAGCATCGACGTCAGCCCAAAATTGCTCACGCAGGGTTGCATCCAAACACAGGGCATGAGTCGAACGGCCGGACCTCGGCATCGACCGCATGCATTGGTGCCGGACGTAGCGGTGATCCGGGCAAGGGGACAAAGGGAAGTGGCTGCTCGTAGGGACTATTGGCGGTGGCGCTTAGAAGCAAGGCTCGGCAAGGTTGTCAAACCTTGTCAAAGACTGCTTCCACAGAAGCGAGGCTGCTCATGGGCGCAAGATGTGCTCGGCAAAGTACACTGCGGAGATTCGCGCCGACATGTGGTGGGGATCGCTACACGTCGTGGTCGTGTTCCCTTTGTTCTCCACCTCGAAATCCCTTTGTTGTTCGTTGATGTTGCTGTTTCTACATTTATGCGATGCAGATTCATATTCTTCGAAAGCATAAAAGGGCCGCGAGACATGTCTCAGTGCTTCTCTCCACCCTTGTCATCCTCTTTGAGATCACATCGCCTTCAAACTCAGTCACGATGAAGATGCCGATTCTTCACTCTATCGTCTGCCTGGTCTGCAGCTTTGTCACCTGTATCAACAGCTGCAAAGGCAGGCCCGTCTCAGCATGTCCTGGAGATGACTGCGTCATCACTTCGTACCCTTCATCCAACCCGCTCCGAGTCGATCTCCCTCTGGGCACCGTGCTCGGTACCAATGTCGACTACTCGGCACAACGTTTCACTTTGCCGTACGCACAACCGCCGATCGGTCAGCTGCGTTTCGCGTCACCTCAACCACTCACTTCGTTCAATGCTTCTGTCTATGCTGCTACCAAGCTTCCTAGCGCATGCATGCAGCAACCTGATGGACGTTACGACATCGCAGATGTCAGCGAAGACTGCCTGTACCTCAACATCTACCGACCGGCTCCGTCGAGCATTTCAGGCAACGAGAAGATGCCGGTGATGGTGTGGATCCATGGCGGAAGCTTCGTTTCGGGTTCGTCGACGGCACCCGGCCTGGATGGATCGTGGCTGGCAAGTCAGAACACTGTAATTGTCGTCACGATTCAGTATCGTCTTGGAATGTTCGGCTTTTTGTCTCCCAGCGCTTTCACGGATGAGTCGGTAGCGACGCCTTCCGGCGGCAAGGTTCAAGGCAACCAAGGTGGACGTGATGTAATCCAAGCGCTTCGGTTCCTGCAGGACAACATCGGTGCCCTCGGTGGCGACTCGAACAGAATCACGGTCGCTGGACAGAGCAGCGGTGCCCATCTCATTCGTTCACTGCTCAACGCTCCTTCCGCTGCCCCACTCTTCCAGCGAGCAATTCTCCATTCGGATCCGGCCAACTTTGGCACGCAAACCCAAACAACAAGTCAACATGTAAGCGACTATGCGCTGGGTCAAACGAGCTGTTCTGATCTCGGCTGCTTGCGATCCATGTCGGCAGGCGATCTTCTCGATGCAAGCACAGCCACAGTACAGGCAGGGCAAAGCATCGATGCGTCGGTAGCAGTCACTGAGGTGTGGCGTCCCTTCGTCGGCTCCTTCACCGGCTCTTCTTTCGAAGACGACCCGAGTGGAGCGATGGCTTTTGGGAAGCCGATAATCTTCACCAATGTGGAGAACGAAGCTGGATCGGCGGTTGGAAGTCTGCTCATGCCTACGGGAACGGATGCGCAAAGTGCGCAGATGCGAGACTATCCGTTCTCACTGACACGCGAGCAGCTGCTGGGCCAAATGTTCAACGATGGACGCGCCAGCACACTCTCCGCAGCAGGTCAGTATGGCATGAATTCAAATACTTCGGCGTTCCCTTCGCCAGCTCAGATCCGTCTCTACTCGCAAGCGGACGACAGTCTGCGCCGTAACCTCGAGACCATCCTCACCCAAGGTATGTTCACCTGCCCGACTTGGAACAATGCGCAACGATACGCATCTCGAACCGCCGCCTATGTTGCCATCTTTGACAGAGGCTTGCAGTATCCTTCGAACGAAGGCATCGACTACTGTTCGGAAAATGGAAGGGTGTGCCACGAGGACGACATTCGGCTGGTATTCGTCCATCCTAGTAAGGTGACAGATGGAGCGACGCAGAAGGTGATGAGGGAGGTGCAGGCCAGATGGATGGGATTCGTGAGAAGTGGTAGCCCGAACGCGGGTGGATATGGAGGATGGAGCTCAGTAGACTCGAGTCAGCAGACCGCACAAGTAATGAGACTTGGTGCGGATGATGGCTTCTCTGCCGTGGATGCCATCTCGCTGCAGTCGGGTCAGTATGCGGGATGTGGGCAGGTGTGGGGAAGTCAGGTGAAATATGATTGGCAGCTGTACGGCTGAGCCATGCTCGAATGCTTCCAGTGATATCGCGTCTTTGCACCGTCCCCTCATATGGTTTCGCGAATCGTTCCCAGAACACTGTCATTACTTTCGCTGCACTCATATCTTTGTTGTCATATAGAAGCTGGTATCCGTCCATTGCGTCGAGCGTCACAAGGCATCGTACAGCTCCCGCGCCAAGCCGATGGCGTGATGGGAAGTGGTTCAGAAGAGTGCGATCGGGCCTCCCGATGCCACGGCGTGCATTTGAAATTCACCATTTGAAGTCAGCCGCGAATTTTAGCTACACTTGAGGCAAGGGTAGAAGTACAAAATCTGTATTGAAAGAATGTGGAAGAACGAGCTAAGAGGGCAGAGAGCACGGGGCAATGCGGCCACAAAAAAGTCACGAAACAGTCCGGACTTCCACTCTTGGCCTGCATGCAGCCTTTTGGTTGGCGCACCAGCGCTTCAGCCGCCGTTGCAGATCGATTGACCACCAATTCGAGAAGAACACAAAACAAGACTGTGCCACACCTGTGCTCCTGCGTCCACCATCCCATCGTACCTCTTGTGATTCGTCATTGCATCAGGTATATGCCGCCATCCGTCCGCGCAAGTGCATCCTCATCCATCCGTAGACTATCCCAGACTGCTCGTCAGCTGTCCAACGGTATCTCTTCTCCCTCCATTCACACCATGGCTTCCGCTCAGGACTTCAAGACCCGTGCCGTCGGCGCACCCTACACGCTCGACTACCGCGTCTTCCTCGAGAACAGCAAGACCGGCTTGCCCGCTTCTCCCTTCCACGATGTTCCCCTCTTTGCCGATGAGAGCAAGACCATCCTCAACATGATCGTCGAGATCCCCCGATGGAGCAACGCCAAGATCGAGATCAGCAAGGAGGAGAGCTTCAACCCTTTCAAGCAGGACACCAAGAAGGGCAAGTTGCGCTTCGTTCGCAACTGCTTCCCTCACAAGGGCTACATCTGGAACTACGGTGCCTTCCCCCAGACCTGGGAGGACCCTCACCACACCCACCCCGACACCAAGGCCAAGGGTGACAACGACCCGCTCGACGTCTGTGAGATCGGCGAGCAGGTCGGCTACACCGGTCAGATCAAGCAGGTCAAGGTGCTCGGTGTCATGGCTCTCCTCGACGAGGGCGAGACCGACTGGAAGGTCATCGTCATTGACGTCAACGACCCGCTCGCCAGCAAGCTCAACGACATCGAGGACGTCGAGCGACACCTCCCCGGCCTCATCCGTGCCACCAATGAGTGGTTCCGCATCTACAAGATCCCCGACGGAAAGCCCGAGAACCAGTTCGCCTTCTCCGGCGAGGCCAAGAACCGCAAGTACGCCACCGAGATCGTGCACGAGTGCAACGAGGCTTGGAAGAGGCTCATCGGCGGTCAGGCCGACGCTGGCGAGATCAGCTTGACCAACACCGCCGTTCAGGGCTCCCAGGGTCTCGTCGGCGCTCAGGACAGCGCCGTGGCTAGCGTGCCCAAGGCCAACCCGCAGCCCGCTGCTCCTATCGATGCTAGCATCGACAAGTGGTTCTACATCTCCAGCTCGTCCAACTAAACACTTGTGTCGTCAATCACGCTTTGCAACAGTGTTGGAGCGTGTCGTTCATAGTGCAATTTCACAATTCCAATCTGCGTTGGCTCTTGAAGGACGAATGTGGTGCGTTGCGAAGGATGATTCTGCTGTGCTGAATGGTTTGCGGTGCGAAACAATCAAGTTCGACGCTGCGCTCACGACTGTTGCTATTCCTGTTGAGCCTGTAGACGCTGCTTCTTGCGTCGTTTCTGCAGCTTTTTCTTTCTGTTTGCAGCTGCGTTGTTGCCGCTGCCGGATACCGCTCCGCTCAGATCCTCTTCTCCATCGCTATCGTTGTCGTTATCGTCAGCGTCATCGCCGACCTCTTCCTGCACATCCAAGACCCTCTTCTTCGCCACCTCGACCACCGCTGCATTTCCTCCTCGCTCCCCAGTCCTGACAAAACAAGCAACGAAAAACCCGTTGCAACTCTCAACGTTCGGCTTATCTCCATCACCCTCCCCACCCGGGATGCACCTGATCACGCTCTCCGCAACTTCCTCCTTCCCCGCACACACCTTCCTGTCTCCTCTGACCTTCCAACTCGGAATGACATCCTTTCTGCCTGCCAACGTCCAACCTTTCTCCCTTGCTTCTTCCGAATCGAGCGCTTTCATCACCACCACCTCGTTCTCTTCGGCGTGAATGCTGCATGTGCTGTACACAACTTTTTCCAGCGCAGGGAATTTGAATGCGTGTCGAATCATCAGCTGTTGGAATTCGGAGAGTTGTCGCAATCGATGTGCTAGCTTGCTTTCCCCCGAATCTGTCGTGGTCGTGTCGGTGGTATCGTTTTCGACGTCGTCATCTTCTTTGAGGAAATCGAGACGGTTGACGATACCGGAACCGCTGCAGCTGGGATCGAGAAGCATATGCGTTACATCGGGAAAGTCGTGTGGTTGGGTGGTGAGGAAATCCTTTCGTTGCGCGATGACATTCCCACCAGCGATTCCGGCAAGGGGTTTCGTTTGCAGCGCTCCGACGGCAGCGAGTCGTTTGAGCAAGGTTTTGAACCGAACGGCGTCTCGTTCGAATGCATCAATACGTCCTTTGGTGGGTTTCGGATTGGGTTTGGAAAACATGATGGCGCTGAGATGGCTGGTCTTGTTGCCCGGTGCACTGGTCGCATCGATCACGTGGGTCGCGGCTGGAGGATCCAAGATGTACGCAGGGAAGCAAGAAGCGAGATCTTGCATGACGATCCAGTTCTCCCGATACATTCCGCTTTTCAACAGCAGGCTCGTTGCTTTCGGGTGAAACGCTAGCAATCCCGGAACGTGTTCCGATTCAGCAAATTCCTTGACTCCCGTCAACTCTCGCTCCGTGACAAGGTGGAACTTGTTCTCGGTCAACCAGTCGAACACCTCCTCCCGCGTTGCACGCAGCGAGTTGATCCGAATCCATCTAGGCATGCGTGCCGTCATCTCCTGATACAGCGCACCCGAACGCAGATCCTGGATCCTCGACTTTCCCTGTCGAATCTGAAGCTTGACCAACGACGAGTGCAGCGAAGCCCGATACCTTTCGAGCGTCACTTTCGGTGGCCAAGTTTTGCTGGCCTGAATTCCGCGAGACTGAAAGAGAAGATCGTGACACAATACCAACAGCAGTGCTTGCTTGCTCGGATACTCGATCTTGCTCGACTTTGTTGGAGGATCCTTTCCCTTCCCATTCGCTTTGACCTTGCTCTTCGACGGTGGCGCAAGGACGAACACCTTCTCTTCGAGCTTCATCACCTTCGATTCGTCCAAAGCATGCATGAGAGCGCTCCGATACGCCAGCGAGTTGATGAGGATGGCCAGCACGCGTCCCGAGTCCGCATGTTCAGAAGCAGCCGCCTTGACCGAACACTCGTCCCGAAGTACTCGATCCAGCGATCTCGCCGATCGGATGTAAAAGTCGGCCATCACTGCGGCACCAGCAACCCGTCAAGACTCTGAGGCGATGGGAGGATCAGGTATGGGTGAGGAAGGTAAAGTTCAGGGTCCTGTCGGTGAATCTTCTCAATTGCTGAAAAATCTCTCTCCACATCTCAGACTGGTCGTCCGTGTTCCGAGCACGTTGGCGAGTCGCCCCTTTCACCCGCTGCTCACGGACTCAACAATGTGTGGACATCTGTTCACCTTCTCCTCCTCGCTCGAAACACCATTCACAAACATCAAATGTATTGGGTATTCGAACAAAAAGAAAATGACACTGCTACAAAGACAGTACAGAGATCAGGCATCAGGACGAGTGGCGGCACCAGTACCCGGCAAGATGTTCTGCAAGGCTGGTGCCGCTTGGGCAGCTTTCTCGACGAGTTCGTTTCCGGCCGACTGTGTTGCCTCAGGACGAGCAAAGGTCGTGCTGGACGACTTGGCAAGACCGCTGCGGATGGGCTCTTGGCTGTTCTGTCGCGAAGGAGGTCGCTGTCCGTTTTTGGGTGGACGAGGTGGACTGGTTGGTGCGATGACGGTGGAAGACGAGTCATGCGTGAATTCCTGAGCTAGACCTGTTGGAGTCGCAGGCTGCTCTGGACGTGCCAGTGTGTTCTGAATCACTTGGGCATGGTCGCCGTCTTGCGATTGGGTTCCAGTGGGTGTAACGAACCCAGCCGTCTCCATGGAGGGTGCCACGCTGCGCGTCGACGCCGCCGTTCCAGGTCTCGCTGCGGCTGCTGCTGCTGGTGGTTGTGGGTCTGAGGCACCAGCCTGCTCTTTGATCTGGTCTACTCTTCCATTGGCGGGACGAGGCGATTCGGTGGCACTGGCAGTTGCATCAACGGTAGCAGCCGATGGGATCGCCTCTGTCGGCGTCTCGGAAGCGTCACCCAGAGCCAGTTCTGACAGCTCCTTTCGCACCGAACTTCTGCGCTGAGGAATGTCACGAGAGGACGTGGCCGGAGCAGCACCGCCGCCGTTGACGCCGAGGGTGGGAGGTGGCTTGCGGTTGAGACTGTTTGATTTGCGGGTGGACGCCGCATCGGTTGCAGCGGCGAAGGAGGAAGTACGGAAAGACTGGTTCCGAGAAGGTTGAGCGGGGGCTGGCGGAAGCGCCTGAGTCGGCGACTTAGACCCGGCAGTGGCAGCAGCATCAGCAGCGTACCTCGATCCACTGCTAGGACCTGCTTCTTCGAAGATGGTGCCGCTCGCAGAGCTGGAGAGGGGCGCTTCGTTCAGCAGAGCAGCTTTCCTCTTGTGAGTGTCCTCGAGGTCCTTGAGGCTCTTGAGTCCGGCTGAAGATTTGGAGACCTCAGCAGGAGTGGCGAACGCGAACTGGTCGAGCGACTTGGGCAGCTCAACCGAGGTTTCGTCGACCGTGTCCGAGTCCTTGAAAGTAGGAATCCACTGACGCCTCTCCTTGAGGAATTTCTGCATATCTACGGTCGTAGAGGCAGCGTCGGTGGGCTTGGTGATGTCGCGAGAGGTGAGATCGATCTGATTCCATTGCACGCCTTTACCAGCAAAGAGTTCGGATGGGCGTGGTCCGGCAGGTACGGCAGGAGATGGAGCGAGACCGCCGGATACGTCACGACCAACGGCTTCTGCAAAATTGCCGCCAGGTCCAGCAGGACTGCTGAGCGACGGAGCGATGGCCGATGGTGTGATCACGGGCGCTGGGCTTGTTGCGGTAGTAGTCTTGTTGAGGCTGGTGTGGCTGGCACGCTTGGTGTTGGCATTGTTGAAGTAATCCGATTCAGGCGAGTTCTTGTGGGCCTGTGCGGGCGAGCCGCCGTCAACGCTCTGAGCGCCCTTTCTACGTGTGCTGCCAAAGAACTTTTTCATGCTGGACGAGTTGCGCGAGAGGAGAGAGGAGGAATCGGAAGCGTTGAGGCCGGTACGGCGATGGCTGGATATTTGGCCGAATTCGGGGGTGTCTCCGATGGCGTCGGCAGCTTCCGAGGTACGATTAGGGGGGACTGAGTCCGATGCGTGCTTGTTGTAACTAGAGGCGGTGGAGGAAGTGGACTTGCGGGACCTAAGACCAAAGATGGCCATCCTTCTCGTCGAGTCTAGGGTGATGAGGTGAGCGTTGAAAGCTGGACGCCGCCGACGAGTCTACAAGCAACGAGCTGAACGTGGGCTTCCAAATGTTGCGAACAGGATGTACGAGTGTCGAGACCACGAGCTACCAAAAACAAAGGCGTGCGGGTGTGAGGAGATTTCTATTGAGCGGCTGGATGCCAAGTGTCGAATCGAATGGTACGGAGATGCCGACAGCGTTTCAGTGCGAAAAGTGTTGGAAGGAGCGGATGCGATGTGGTTCAAACTGTCTGCTGAGGGTGAAGTGATGGGTGAGATGCAACGAGAGCGGACTGCGCTGGACATGAAGTGACGGCGGCAAGGCTTCAAAGAGAGGAAAAGCGGAGAAAGCTCTGTTGGAGTTGGAAGACATACATGCGTGAGAAGCGTGCGTGAGTGCGTGCGTGCGTGCAGCGACACTTTGGCACGCTCGTGCACTGACCGACCCTGGGCCTCGCCTAATTTACGGTCTACGGTCGACTACACAGATCTCGGCCCAGCTCGGCCAATCACCCTCAGAGGCCCACGCAAGGCTGCTTGCCTTTTTGGCCGATTGCGCACACGCTGCACCGCTGCAATGGAACACTCGAGCTTCTCTCCGTTCAAGTTCATCTGTAGACAACTTGCCGTTCCCAGAATGATCGAAAGGAACCTTGCTTCTCCTCCGTGTACGTGTACGTGTGTGCTGCGTGTGTGCGTGGCCTGAATAGCCCGCCCGCTTTGGCTCGAGTGGAGACCGAGACACGAAAGACCAAGCCCTGCGCAACCGCCTTGTGATGAAGCTCATGAGTTTCTTAACGATCTCACTTCCCTCGACTCGCTTTGTGGGCAGAATAGGCCCAACCCTGTTGCCACGACGAATGATACGGCCACGCTTACATCGTAGAAGGAGGGTCGCTGCATTGAAACGTCTCTGAAATGGCCGGTGACAAAATCGATCGGGGACGGACACGACGAAAAGCATCTCCCGATCCATTGCATACAATCTTAGCTGCGCCTTGAGAAGAAGCTGGAAGAACGCTCGCTCAATTTTGGGCTTCTGGCTCCAAGAGTCGCGCGCGCTCTGCTCTTCCTGCGAGTCGAGTCGAGAATTATTGCGCACACGCTCGGTGCCTGGTGTTGTGCGTCGAAAAAGTGACACTCTCTCCGAAATCGGTTTCGCCGACTTGTTCTCATCGGCGCTACCTTCTCTAACCATCACGAACAGCATCTCGTTCCGTCTGGCTTCTGCTTCTCGGCTCTCAGTACAGTATTCCCCAACAGAGCTTCCAGCAGCGTAGCGTGGTCACCTGACGCAGCACCTCCTCAACGCCAACAAAGCCGCGCAGATCACCGCCAACCGGGACACATCGCCATCATGTCGGGACAGCAACCCGTGTTCGTCATGAACACCGGTCCAGAGCGACAGACCGGCCGCAAAGCTCAGATCTCCAACATCACCGCCGCGAAAACCGTCGCTGATGTCATTCGAACATGTCTCGGTCCCAAAGCCATGCTCAAGATGATCCTCGATCCCATGGGCGGAATCTTGCTCACCAACGACGGCAACGCCATCTTGCGCGAGGTAGAAGTGGCTCATCCCGCCGCCAAGTCCATGATTGAGCTCAGCCGGACCCAGGACGAAGAAGTCGGTGACGGTACCACCAGTGTCATCATCCTCGCCGGTGAGATCCTCGCCCAATCACTGCCGCAGCTCGAACGAAGCATCCATCCCGTCGTCATCATCTCGGCGTTCAAAAAGGCGCTCGCGAGAGCTCTCGAGATTGTAGAGGAAATCTCGGTGCCCGTCGACGTCACCAACGACAAGGAGATGCTCGCCTTGATCAAGACCTCCATCGGAACCAAGTTCGTCTCGAGATGGTCAGAGCAGATGTGCAAGCTCGCGCTCAAAGCCGTTCGCACCGTCGCCATGGTCGACTCCTCCTCCGGCTCCTCTGCAGGTAGCGATCCGAGCAAGACCGTCGACATCAAGCGCTACGCCCGTGTCGAAAAGGTGCCCGGTGGAACCATCGAGGACTGCCGTGTTCTCGACGGTGTCATGCTCAACAAGGACGTCACCCACCCCAAGATGAGGAGGCGCATCGAGAACCCACGAATCATGCTGCTCGACTGCCCACTCGAGTACAAGAAGGGCGAATCGCAGACCAACATCGAGATCACGCGCGAAGAGGACTGGAACAAGATCCTCGAGATCGAAGAGCAGCAGATCCAGACCATGTGCGAAAAGATTGTCGAATTCAAGCCCGACCTCGTCTTCACCGAAAAGGGCGTCTCGGATCTGGCGCAACACTATCTGCTCAAAGCCAACATCACCTGCATTCGACGTGTGCGCAAGACGGACAACAACAGAATCGCCCGTGCTACCGGTGCCACTATCGTCAACAGGGTCGACGACCTCCGAGATGCCGACGTCGGAACTCGTTGCGGCCTCTTCCACATTGAAAAGCTCGGTGACGAGTACTTTACCTTCCTCGAGGAGTGCAAGCAGCCCAAGGCGTGTACCATTTTGCTTCGCGGGCCGAGCAAGGATATCTTGAACGAGATTGATCGCAATCTGGCCGATGCGATGGCCGTTGCACGCAATGTAGTGTTCAACCCTCTGTTGGCGCCAGGTGGAGGTGCGACGGAGATGGCGATCGCCTACGGCCTGTCCGAGTACGCCAAGGAGCTCGAGGGCGTGGAGGTAGGACCCATCCGTGCAGTCTCGGATGCCATGGAGGTCATCCCGCGCACGCTCATCCAGAACTGCGGTGGAAACGCCATCAAGACCCTCACCACGCTTCGTGCCAAGCACGCCAACGGTGAACACTCGTACGGCGTCGACGGTGAGACCGGCAAGGTGGTGGAGATGAAGGAGTACGGTCTGTACGAGTCTGCCGCCGTCAAGATCCAAACGCTCAAAACCGCCATCGAATCCGCTTCCCTGCTGCTCAGAGTCGACGATGTCGTATCCGCCAAGAGAGGGCGACAGCCGGGAGGTGGAGCCGGTCCAGGTGTCCAGGCTCCCGATGCGGGCATGGGCGAAGACGCAGGTCCGGACATGCCTCAAATGTAGACGTCGGTCCGAAACTGCCGTCAAGCACAACCGCAATCAACTCATTTCCTCACAATGGTATTGATGGTGGGCGTCTGAGTCTGTGTGATAAGTCAAAACGAATGTGTGCATGCGATTGAACGAGCGATTTACATGCGATACGGAAGAGTCGGAAAGCGGGAGCAAGATGACACACGGAGTACGAAGGTCCAGCTTTGACCGGACGCTACGCTTTTGCCATGTCCGCCGACGGTGGCGACGCTGAGCTGATGGCAGCGGAGCCGTTCGAGGCTGGTTGTGCCGCTGGATCCGAGGAAGTGTGGCTTGGGGGTGTGCCCGGCGATGATTTCTCCTTGGTCTGATCCTTGCCCGTGTCCACAAGCTCCTGACCGTCTCTGCCCCTCCAAATGCCATCCCTCTGGTCCACTTTGCCGTACAGCTTGGTGCTCTGGTTTCTCGTCAGCGCTGCCATCCACTCGTCGACGATCTGCTTCGAGTCCACCATGACGTTGATCTCCTGCGAGTGGAACCAACTCTGCGTGTCCTGATTGCCACTTCCCAGCACCGCCACCTGCCCATCAAAGGCGGCAAACTTGACGTGGCAGTTGCGCTGCTTCCTGACAGCGTTGAGCGGGCGCGTCATGTCCTTGCCCGTGTACCAGTATACCTCGAGATACTTTTCGTCACCCTTGCCCTCGCGACGGAGCTGTCGATAGAAGGCCGTGACGACTTGCTCGTTGGTGCCACCCTGGAAAGGCATGGATTCCGACTTGTCGTTGAAGCCCAGATCAAGCCACAACTCGACGGTGACGTGCCTGCGAACCGCGGCGAGGACGGCGGCTTTGATCGGGGAAGCATTGAGGGTGGGAGACTGGATGAAGACGTGCTTCTTGGCGTAGCGGAAGCCAGCGAGCCAGGCAGCGTCCTGTGGGTTGCGAATGTCAGAGTGTCCAGGTGTGCCGTGGGGTCGTCGGTTGACCAGAGCCATGGGCACCGGCTCGTGTGGTTTGTGAAAGACGTAGGGCTGGAAGTCAAGCACAGCGTTGAGGGCGGATAGCTTCTCATCCGACAGCTGCTCGGCTTTGATCTCGCCTTGGACCTTGGAGTTGTTGGCGAAATCGAGCGATTTCGTAATGGCACTCAATCGCTCCGCAGCCGATGATTTCGAGATCTGCGACAGCGTGCGGCGATGCACGCGTCGATAGCCGGCAGACCCAGGCACCGTCTCCTCATCTTTGGGAGGCGTTGTCTCCGCTGTTGCCTCTGATTTTGGTTGAGAGACATGAGTGTTGAGCGCAGGAGCAGCGGCGACCCCGTCGTTGCTGTCTGATGTTGGCTCGAGTGCTTTGCCTGCCGCATCATCGCCCGCCGAAGATGCATCCTTGTTTCCGTCGAGGGCTGCTTCGTCGCCACTGACGCTGTTGAGAAGTGCCTTGGGGCTGGCGGAGCCGTCGTCGATGACCGTGTGGCTGGGAGCGTCGTCGAGACTCTCTTCCTCAGCCTCTATGGACCCTCTTCTGTAGAGCTGCTCGCCGTGATCGTCTTCCGCAACCGCCATGGGCACATTGGCACCCGATGCCAGTGTCGTCTTGGGTCGAGGGTTGCGTCTGACAGCCTCTGCGACGTTCTTTGAGCTGCTCTGACCTAGACCGAACACCTCGAGAGCACCCTCAGCCCAGGCGGGTGGCTTGTGGCCTTCCTTCTTCATCAGCGCTTCGACCATGTCAGCAAAGTGTTTCTTGTGGTGTGGAGTCTGTGGCTGCTCAGCTTTGTCGTGGGACGGCGGCTCGGATTCCGTTCTTTCAGGCTTATTGAGGTTGCTGCTCTGGAAATGGCTGAAACGCTCACCGAGCACCTTATGCGCCCACAGAGCGCCGGCATTGCGAGCGGCTTTCTCGCCATCCACGGGATGTTCGCTCGGTGATACACGAATGGCGGGTGCGGCGCCTTTGGTACCACCGAAACTGTCGCGGCGCATAACCTGGTCGACGACGTCGCCAAAGTGGAAGGACATGGGACTCTGCATACTCCTCTCCTTCTCTACTTCGGTTGCTGTGTCCTCGTCGTGGAGTCGCTGGCGGACGTTGAGTGCGAGCTGCTTGAGCTTCTCTACGGTGAGCGAGGGCAGTGTGCTCTCTTTGCCCGACATGAAGGCGGCGGCAGAGGGTGCCACAGGCGCTGGCGCGGTAAGACATGGGAGCGGAGGCTGTAGTGGATTGCCCCAGCTGATGAGCGCGTGATCGTAGATCGAGTTGACAATGTCGCCCTCGAGTCGGACACATGCTTCGACGTTGGGACGATCCTGGATGTTGTTCGAATTGATGAGAGCTACTTGTCGGTCGACGATGAGGAGCTTGGCGTGGAAGGTGCCCATCAAGGGTCGGTGGTAGTTGAGAATCTCCATGGTGAGATTCGGGATTTCGCTTTCAGTGGGAAGGCCGTTGTCCTTCCACATGCCGGGAGGAACAGGTTTGCGCAGGCGGAAGAGGTCGGCCAGAGTCTGAGGTCCACGGTCCCACATGAGTTTGACGACGACGCGCTCTTCCGCGGTCGGAGGGCCGAGATCGATGTCTGAATCGTCAAGTTCGCCGTTAACCTGGTCATGGTCTTTCTCTGTGCGCTTGACCGAGCCTGGTGCACCTTGCTCCTCGAGCAAGTCGGTCTGCTGCTGAGCCGCTTTCTCCTGCTGAGGTGCTTGGGACGGATTGGCGGCGGGACCGGAATGCCCTTTGCGTCGAGCATCAAGCGCTTGCTGCTTTCGCCTCTTTTCGACTCGCTTGTTGAGTTCGCGGAGCGCTTCGGCGATTCGATCGACGTTCTTGCCGCCTTGCCAGTAATTTGTGAGGAGGATGACCTCTCTGCGCGCAGCGACGATGCAGTCGTAGTAATGGCCGATGATGTCCGGCCCGGTGGAAAAGATGGACAGAGGGGCAATGCCGGTGGTCGCAAGTAGGGGAGGAGAGACGACTCCGGACATCGGGTTGCGGGGGAGGGGTAGAAGGCAGTCGGCGAGGACCATGAGGTAGAGCCGAGAGGGACCGCCTTGGTCGGTGGGTTTGTAGCCGTATCGAAGACGGACACGCTCGAGCTCGTCGTCGTCGGGCTCGCGGTTGCCATGATGGACGGCGCCTTTATCCCAGACCCAATGCTTGCCCCTGCCCTCTTCGAGCTGCTCCTTGATCTTGAAACGAAGGATGCCTCGCTTGGCTGCAGAGGGGACAGGGAAGAGTTGCTTTGCGGCAATCGAGGGAGCCAAGGTTGGATCGGCAGCCAAGGCGGATGTGATCGTGGCTTGTGAGGATTGAGGACGCGCATCTTGAAAGGGTCCGACTTGAGAGCCGGCAGAGAGGTGGGCTTTCTCTTCCGCTTCCTCGCGCACGTGTGAAGAGCCACAGATAGGCATGTTGGCTCGAGTGTTGATGAACGCCGCTTACAAGATGCTGAGCTCTACAGCTCCGGCTGGTGCGGACTCGCTCTACCGTCGAAGTAGATGCCGCTGTGATGGAAGCGACAAGATGAGTGAAGTACCGTGTGCGAGAATGGAAGAACGGAAGGAGTGTGCGCTGCGGGAAAGGCTGCCAGATGACACTCGGAGATGGACGGGGAGAGAGCCGGTTGCAAAGGGTATCAAAGAGGAGGAGTGTAGGATGTCGACAGATAGGAAGCCAGTGGTAACGGTGGTAGAGATGGCAGTGGTGCATGCAAGCTCATTCAGTAGCGATGGCAGAGGCTGTGTGTGCGGCCAAGCCGAATGAAGCTCTGGGAGCAAGGAACTTACTTAGCAGAAGAGGTTGCGCAACGTCACTTTTCGAGAAAGCCAAATACGTCCCGCGCCGTGGGGGAAGCACAGCCGAAGCAGCAGCGCAGGCTCTATTTCACACATATTTCGCGACACACAGGTGGCATGCAGAACAGCTGCGAATGGACCTATGTGGAGTGGATGGCATGGCGTCGTGTTCTTTTCCCCTCAAGCCCACCTTGAATTCTGGCGGGCGGTGCAATTGTCCGAGTGTTCTTCTTCTCGGCAACGACTACGGACCAAAGATCAGCAACAAGACGCAGCATCGAGGGACCAAAGCGTAGCCGAAGCGGATGATGCGACGCCACGTCCATCTGCGATCCCTGATGACGACGATGATCCATTGTGGTGCTGTCCGAATGAGTAAGGGACGGAGGGGCCGTGAAGGTCGACGTCGGCGCTGCCGACACGATGCCGACAGAGCGTGGATAAGAAGGCCAATGCTGCTGCAACCGCATTCGCGAGGAAAGGTGGGAAACCCTGCGTCCAAACCTGGTAGACCAAAAATGCCGAGCAAGAAGGCCAAGGCGAGCGAAAACCAAATTCCAATCCACAGTTGTGCACGACACGAGCGATGACGACTATTGCATTCGAGCCAAGCCATCTTGGCTTGCGAACGTGTTTCGTCGGAAGCAACAGCCGGTGATGCAGCCCTGCCCAGACCGCCTGTACTGTACTCTGTTTGGTTGTTCTACAAGACCGCCCATTGGACAAGTCAGCTTATCAGCAAAGAACGCAGGTGTTGAGCGCTGAAACCGAGCTGCTTGGCTGTACTAGTACAGGAGCACAGTGCGACGAGCCGGCGGCACGCGAACCGATCGATCGACTGAATGCAGAGGCGAGCACCACAGTCGAGGCCCGTAATTCGAGTGGGACTTCTCCGTAAGAGACGTCGTTGCATTGACCCCTTCCTCGGGCGAGCCTAGAATCCTCGGTGGGAGTTCCCTTGCGTCTACCAGACAAACCAAAGCGCTCCCAGACGCCGACGACGCAAGAGAGCGGGACACCGTGTCTGCATGCATTATTCGCCCGATGTCAGACCCTGAATGGTAACACTGAATTTCAAAATCACAGACTACTTGATTCGGAAGTCGGACGCAAGAATGTGTGTGTTGCAGTTGGCTTGCTCGCATGACACACACCGGCAAAGCAGATCGAAAAGCGCTTCTTCCAAAGCCTCAGTATCTCCGTTACTTCACCGACAACATCTTTTATCCTCATCGTCGACAGTAGGATTCGCACGTCATATTAGCAATGGCTGCAGCATTAGACGCGGGGTCAGCGCCCTCCGAAGCGAGCGCTGTCTCTCGATCCGACCCCGCACACATCACCTCCAAGATCAAAGCAGCTTCCTCCCAAGATGTGCCCTTCTGGTCCTTCGAGTTCTTCCCGCCTAAGACAACACAGGGTCTGGCCAACCTCTACAACCGTATCGCTCGTATGCGAGCCAACCTAGATCCGAGCTGGATCCATGTGACATGGGGAGCAGGTGGAACAACCGGCGGCAAGTCGCTCGAGTTGGCCGGTAGGATACAAAAGGGCAAACTCGATCCCGACGTCGAGCTCGTTCAGACCGAGGTCAAGCAGATCCGATCAGGATCAGATCAGCACATAGAAAACGTCAAAGGAGGCGAGGCGTGGGAGGAAAAGAGTGCAGATGCCTGCGATGTCTGCCTGCATCTGACATGTACAAACGTCGAAAAGAGCAGCCTAGATGAGACGCTTGAGACGGCAAAACGCTTGGGCATCAAGAATATCCTCGCGCTCAGAGGCGATCCACCAAGAGGCGAAGAGTACTGGGTCGCAGCAGACGACCGTTTCCAGCACGCCACCGATCTCGTTCGCTACATCCGCGACACCCACGGCGACCACTTTTGCATCGGTGTTGCAGGCTATCCCGAGGGCCACGCTGACTACGTCGATCGAGACGTCAAACGCGATCTCCGGTATCTCAAGACAAAGCAAGATGCCGGAGCACAGTACATCGTCACTCAGCTCTTTTACGATGTCGACCGGTTCCTCGCTTGGTACAAGGAGTGTCGCGATATCGGCATCACCATCCCCATCTTGCCGGGTATCATGCCCATCCAGAATTACTCGAGTTTCCGACGCATGACGAATCTCTGCAAGGTGCAGGTACCACAGCTCGTTCTGGACGCACTCGAGCCTATCAAGAGCGACGATGCCGCCGTGAAAGAGTACGGTGTTTCGCTCAGCATTCACATGGTTGGCCGCATCTTTCTCGAAACCGACGTTCGGGGCTTCCACCTCTGCTCGCTCAACTTGGAAAAGAGCATCGAGCGCATCCTCGAGGGTCTAGGCTGGAAGACAGATCTCGGAGCTCAGCCTGAAGCCGATGCCAGGATGAAAGGCATTCCTTCTCACATTCGTCTCGAGCGAACGAAGAACCAAATGCTATCCGATCGCACCGGTGCCAACACGCCCAAAGATTTCAAAGTGACGACACAGGAAGCGCTCGCACGCACATTGGCGAGGACGTCGAGCTCGTATCAAGTGCCAGAGACAAGCACATGGGACGAATTCCCCAACGGACGATACGGTGATTCTCGCAGTCCCGCTTTCGGTGAAATGGACGGATACGGTGTCAGTCTCAAAGTTCCACCGCAAGACGCACTGCGTATCTGGGGTCATCCGGTCACGCTCTCCGATATCTCCACCATCTTTGCTTCCTACCTCGAGGAGAAGATCTCTTGCATCCCGTGGTGCGACGCACCGCTGATGAACGAGACGCTTCAGATCAGAGATCATCTTCTCTCACTCAACCGGCTAGGGGAAGGCAAGAATGCATCCGGTAAAGGATGGTGGTCGGTGGGATCGCAACCCGCAGTGGACGGAGCACCTTCGACCGACCCCGTCGTGGGGTTCGGTCCACCTGGCGGCTTCATCTTTCAAAAATCGTTCGTCGAGCTATTCATGTCTACGTCGGACAAGGACCAGCTCGTCTCGCGCATCGACGCTCTCGGATCCAAAGCTCAGATCACGTACTTTGCCGGCAATGCTAGAGGCGACTTCCAGTCGAACCTCGGCGATGAAGAGGCCAACACCGTCACCTGGGCGGTCTTCCCGGGCAAGGAGATCGTACAGTCTACCATCATCGAAAGACAGAGTTTCGAAGCTTGGAGGGAGGAAGCGTTTGAAATCTGGGCAGAGTGGTCACTGCTGTTCCCGAAGCAGTCGGCGAGCAGGAGGTTGATCGAGGAGGTCAAGGATGGTAGGTGGTTGGTGACGGTGGTGCATCATGATTACAAGCAGAGCGATGCATTGTGGCAATTTTTGGCGCAGTAGAGATGCGGCGAGGAATTGCATTTTTATTTGCTTAGTTGGATCGTCGGAGTGTGCAACGAGTTGTCCAATTTGAGGTTCGTCAACGGTGCCGATGACAGTGACAATCGTGGTGAGCACCTGCGCAGCCGACATCAAGAGGGGTTTGCAACACTTGCATATCAGTATCGAATTCCGATGGGCGAGAACAGAGGAGGCGAAGGTCTCGACTTACCAAGATCAGTCGTCATTGTTGTGGATACCGAAGTCGTCTCCCAATCGTCGCGACAACATCTATGGAGATCAGCATGTGGTGCATGACGATGGTGATGGTAGTGGTGGTCGAGTGGGCGGTGTCGGTGTCGGTGACACCCGTGACAGTGAGATGCATGATGACCACTGCTTCGATGTTTGCTTTCCGCAGCAGCGGCGATAGTGTCATGCTTGGCGTGGCATCCGGCGCAATTGCCTCCTTTTGTAATCTCCTTCGACAGGACGCCGAGTGCTTTCAGACCTTGAACAATTTCCGCCGCACCCTGCAATGACAGCGTATGCGCCTCACAACCGGCCGTGTGATCTGCAGCAACAGTCTTGGCGGCAGGACCATCCTTCTTGGAATCGGCTTTTTTGTCGTCGGCCTTGTTGTCTTTGGTGTCGGCAGGCTTGGTTTCGGCTTTCTCCTTCTCCTTGCCCTGTCCATTATTGCCAGCTTGTTTGAGAGCTTCTTCCTTCTTTGCGTCCTTCTTTTCATCCTTCTTTTCGTCTTTCTTTTCGTCCTTCTTGCCCTCGTCCTTTTTTTCGTTCTTCTTGCCTTCATCTTTCTTTTCGTCCTTCTTGCCTTCGTCTTTTCCCTTCTGCTCACCCTGCTGCTGTTGCTTGCCTCCATTTCCACCACTGCCCTTTTGCTGAGCTGTGCCCCCTCCCCCAGCATCGACCAACTCCACCTTACCATCTGCATGAACCTTTAAGAAGGGCGCATCGTTCTTTGGCGCTGGTTTGAGCTCGATCTTGTCCGTCTTTGCATCGAACACTACGTACTGCGGACCAGTCGTATCGGTCCCTGCTTTGGCGACGTACTCTTGCCAGAGTTTCGCGCCCGACCATTCCGTACCGGCTTGCTCCCCTTTCTTGTTGTTGTTCTGGTTATTATTGTTGTTGTTGTTGTTGGCGGCGGCGGCGGGTTTTGCATCTTTGTTCTGCTGAGAGGTTTTGCTGTCTCCTTGAGCAGGCTGATCGTCCTTTTTTGCCGGAGGCGTGTTGGCGAGCGAGTGGAGTGGGAGCGAATCCGACTCGGACTCGGAGCGTTTGGCGCAGGCGAGGACGGCCGAGAGCAAAGCGGCTGTTCCGAGAAGTATACCCAGCACCAGACCTGCTAGTGCAGCTGCTGCCATTTTTATGCGGATCGTCAGACGCAAGAACGACTGTAGTGATCATAGCATTGATAGCAGTGCGTGTGATGGTGCGAGGTCAAGGGATGGTCTCGAGAATCTCTTTTTCGACGGCCAAGGGTGTCGCATCCCCTACACAGTCTTTGCTGAGCGCACAAAAGAGTGGAACCACACAATACATCCCAGTAGAAGTTGGACTGCGCAAGGTTCGGCGGATCTGCGCAGAGATGACGAAGACAAAAGCTTATTTCATCGCCATACGTCCGTTGAGCAGCGGAGGGGAACAGTTGCCGCTTAGGCTTCGTGGTGGGGACGCCCAGCTGAGTAGAATCGGGAGAAAGGGTCCCGATCAGGTACAGGAGCTGCGTGAAAGTGGCTGAGAATTTCCCCTTGTGGAACAGGTTGGCGCTGTGGGCGTCGTAAAATCATGCACGGTCGATTACCCCGGCATCAGATCAGCGCTGAAACATGACTTTTAGGGCGTAAATCCAAATTTTGGCTGAAAAGAGAACTCGGTTGCACTCGAGCAAGCGATGGAATTGCCCCGGATTTGGGATTCGGTGTGCGTTTCCCCATCCAACTGCTGTTCGTGGTTCACCGTCGTTGCGACCATCGCCTGCTTGTGCCGAGACCACCATCATAGACCCAAGCATCATCGTCTTTGCACCAACTATCCGTCGTGCCTTTGAATCAACGGAAAAGCCTGTCGCAGTCTTTCGACCCGATATCGTCGGACCCTATCCCATCAAACCAAGACCGGAGTAGGCTCAACGCAAAGCATCCTCATCAACCAAGCCACTCTTTCCCTCGAACTCAGGTGCACGCAATGACTCGAGTATCAGCAGCATCCCTTCTGGCGCTCTCGCTCGCCCTTGTGACACTCTGCAACCCAGCCCTGGCCCAACAAGGTGCACCTCCATACACGACGAACAACGCGCAATCGGCGTGCATTCAATTCGGTTCCTGCAGTACCGCCGGTGGAAATGGAGTGTTGACCGCGACACAGAACGCACCAGTGACCGCTCCTGCTGGAACGCCAGCGCTGGCAACGGCCACTACGCTCGATTCGGCCTTCGTCTCGTCGCTGGCAGCAGCGGGTGCTAGTGCAGCTTACACGGGGGGAGCCAGCAGGGCAGGCGCACTGACGAGCACCAGAACCGTGACCGCCGGCGGCTCAAGCAATACCGGTAGCAGCGGCAGCAGTGGAAGCGGTAGCGGAAGTAGCAGTGGAAGTGGAAGCGGAAGCTCGAATGGTGCAGAGGTGGTGGGAGCGGGTGCACTGGTCAAGGCGATGGTGGCCAGCTCGGCTGCTGTTGTGGGTGCTGTCCTGCTGCTTTGAGCTGTCGTGTCGTTCATCGAGCACGATGAATCTGTGCACACCTTGTCGATGGAGAGGACTGCGCAAGCGTTCCCCTTACAACTTTCGAACCATCCTCTCTCCAACAACTTCGTCTTCCCAAGCACTCGTTCCGATGCGAGGCATCCAGATTCGACCCAATCGAATGGGCCTCGCTTCCGTGACACCCACACGACGCTGTGCTATCTGTTTCCCTACGTATTCCTCCTCATCTCTTAGGTTCTCTCTTTTGCTTGGATTTGCTCGACCCATTTCCATTATTTCGCTCTTCCCTCTGCTCCCTCTATGGGCATGACACTCTTTTGAATACCCATTCACATATTGCGCCTCGCCATTGTGATTGTGTGTGTGACTGTGCCCAAATCAGGTCCTTGAGCTTGGTCAGGAGCGACCAGGATAGGAGTGAGACAAGTTGCCGTAATGATGAGCGACAAGAAGCCCCAAGAAATCGGCAGGTAGAATAGGTAACCGAAAATCAACGCAGGAAAGATGGTCTGGCAGGCAAGGGATATCAGCCTGTAAGTTAGTCCGAACACAATTAGCCTGTCGTCGTTCGGATATGTCGTTCGGATGGTTGCAGGCTCTGTAAATGCACACATAGCCTGACAAAGTTGGCCCAAGTCAGCAGGGTCGAGTCTCTGCCAACCTTGACTACTCCATTGTGTCCACTTCCAAGACGACGACTGATAACGTTTACTCGCTGCTGCCGATCTGGAAGCTCGCACTTTTCACTCGCCAACCAAATCGGTCGGTTGTCAGAACGGCATTGCGGTTCCACTAGTGTAAAGCCATTCGAGGCTGTGCACAAGCGCGCGAGCACAATTTGCACAGCGTGTAAGGTCTCGAAAACGCGGGTCAAAATAACCGGCGGCCCGTGTCAAGCACCTGCAGCATTTGCAGAACAGTGCGTCATCGGACGGCAAGCGCCAAAAACGCGTTCCTGTGACTTTCCTTCTGTTGGTGACTGCTTGCCTCTATCGCCCTCCCTCGTTGGTTTTGCGCGACACTTCGGATCGAAGCCGACATCACATGGGCTTGCGATCAAGCCATCAGTCTCAGTCACAACAATGAACTTGCTAGAGCGTGACGCGAAATGTGATTGTGACCAAGTGAGGAAAAGCCGAACAAAGCGTGGGAATGCACACGATTGCAGCTCTTCGCTGGGAGGTACCCAGCCGAGACAATCGTGCTGACGATCAGCTTGTTCGACCACGTTGCGGAGAGGGTCATCGTCTCGTGCCGAAGCATGTAAGAAAGGGTTTGAGCTCGCCGTTTCTTGAAATCCTACTCGGCACGACAAGGCCGCCGGAGCCAGTCTTGCTGCAAACAATAGAAAATTCAGCTGGCCTGTGCAGTTGGCGTGTCTTGGGGACCCTTTTGTGCTTTGCCGCGGTGTCCACAATTTGCGGCTGTTGCTCCACCAGTTGTTCTTGACACGCTGAAGGAACGTGCGGATTCCGAGTGTGAGGCTGAATCACCAAGCCTTGCTGCTGACCTGGCTTGTGCTTCAACCGTCGGCTGGCGTTCTTCCTCTGCAGATCGTGGAAGCGCAGTGAATGAGCATCGTAGTCCCTCCAGATCGCCCACAATGCTGAAACCTGCTGCCTCGCCGCTTGGACGAGCCCCATATATAGTGACTTCTTGAAGCCTTTCCTTCTTCGATCCCTCATCCTCCTTGTGGTCCATTCCCTCCCGCATCAACCACAACTTCCGTCACAGATATGTCTCTCAGCAAGCACGTCGACCCCGAGGAGCTCATCGAGCAGGCTGCCGACCACCCCATCCTCAGCCTCCTCGAGCACCCTGCCGGCAAGCGCGCCCATGCTTACCACTCTGGAGCCCACGCAGGCCGCTACGTCACCGAACCCATCCCCAAATACAAGATCCCTCAAAAGGGCACAAACGCCGATGCCACCTACCAGCTTCTCAACTCGGACCTCAGCCTCGATGGTAAGCCCACCCTTAACTTGGCCTCCTTCGTCCATACCTGGATGCCCGAACAGGCCACCAAGCTCATGACCGAGACCATGATGATCAACATGTGCGATCAGGACGAGTACCCGGCTACGATGGCAATCCACGCGCGCTGCGTCTCGATGCTCGCCGACCTCTGGAAGGCTCCCACCGAGAAGGACGAGAACGGAAAGCGAAAGCCCGCCATGGGTGTCGCTACCACCGGCTCTTCCGAGGCCATCATGCTCGCTTGTCTCGCTGCCAAGAAGCGCTGGCAGCACAGGATGAAGGCCCAGGGCAAGTCGTTCAAGGAGCCCGGTCCCAACATGGTCTTTGGATCCAACGCTCAGGTCGCTATCGAGAAGTTCGCCCGTTACTTTGACGTTGAGGAGCGCCTCGTCCCCGTCAGCCACGAATCTCGCTACTGCCTCGACATCAACAAGGCTATCGACATGGTTGACGAAAACACCATCTGCGTCGTCGTCATCCTCGGTTCCACCTACACCGGTCACTATGAAGACGTCGAGGGCATGAGCAAGTTGCTCGACGAGTACGAGAAGAAGACGGGCATCTCGATCCCCATCCACGTCGACGGAGCTTCGGGTGCCATGGTCGCCCCCTTTGCCACTCCCGACCTCAAGTGGGGCTTCGAGATCCCCCGCGTCGCCAGTATCAACACCTCGGGCCACAAGTTCGGCATGGTCTACCCTGGTCTCGGATGGGTGCTGTTCAGGGACAACGAGCAGGTGCCCAAAGAGCTCGTGTTCGAACTGCACTACCTGGGCTCGGTCGAGTACTCTTTCGGTCTCAACTTCTCCCGCCCTGCGCACCCGGTCATCGGTCAGCTGTTCAACTTCATCAACCTCGGTTTCGACGGATACCGCCGCGTGATGCAGTCCGACCTGCAGAACGCACGACTGCTCTCTCGCGCTCTCGAGAACTCGGGACTGTACGAAGTGCTCTCCGAGATCCACAAGCCCATCGAGGCATCCACCGCTGCCACCTCGGCTGCCGTCGGCGCCACCGAGCTCATCAAGGAAGCCGGTGCCAAGCTCGCCGGCTCCTCCGACAAACACCACAGCCACCGTCGCGAGACGCTCAACGAACACTCTGCCGAGATGTACCGCCCAGGACTGCCCGTCGTCTCGTTCCGATGGTCCGAGTCCTTCCGCTCGCGCAACCCGCAGCTCGAGCAGCGATGGATGCAGACGCTCCTGCGTGCCAAGGGATGGATCGTGCCCAACTACAACCTCTCGCCCGATCTGGAGGATATCGACATCCTGCGTGTCGTCGTCAGGGAGAACCTGAGCGAGAGCATGATCGAACAGCTCGTCTACGACATCATCACCATCACAGAGAGTCTGGAGAAGGAAGGTAAGGACGGTGGGTACAGGCATCTCGCAGAGGTGACGAGCAAGCACCACGAGGAGACGACCGGTGGTAAGGATGGAAAGAACAGTACCGGTCATCACAATGCGGCTCATGATAAGCACAGGGGCGGATTGCCAAAGGGCAGCGGTGTCGAGGCTGTCGGATATGCCAAGCAGTGTTGATCGCATGTCGTCGTCTGCGGAACGAAAACGTGTTCTGTCACTTGTTGTTTCGAGCTCGCTTGTGACCTTGGAATACAAGAATCTCTCGTCATGCCAGGTCGGCTGAAGCGTGCGTGCAACTCCATAGGAAAGCTTGTCTTGGAGCCCGTACGAACTCAATTCAAAAAAAAGAGTGTATAT